ACTGTATAGGAGCGTCTCAATGGGGTTAACCGTCAGGGCAGCCGGCCGTCAAATGGCCTAAACTTTAACCCTCAGCTGTCGAAAAAGGTTTTTTTTACTGTCAACAGTCAAAAAGGCAGATTAATATTAACCATAAAAAAGTTTCAAGGCATTTCAAAGAATGTGACTTTTTCAGCCGCTCTGCCCGGTCTTCTGGCTTCTCTACTGACCACCTAACCAGCAGAAACCGGAAAAGGGCTTTGAAAAAATCTAGGAAAAGACCAGCAAACGGCGATACCGGCCTTTAAGAATTTTCAAAATCGTTTGAAGCCCTTTTGCGAATGCCAAAATGTAGGGGTGCATTGTAAGCAGTTTGCATTGCAAGTGTCAACAGATGAGATTCACAAGGCACAAATCGACACAAAACTTAGTCGGATTTCCGGTATATATTCAAACTTTTCTAATATTCGTTCACAGAAGCAATTACCGTTGATCATGTTTTCGTTCGATGAGGAAAAAACTACATCACAAATTCAAGAATAAATACATCATGCCGCAACATGTTATTGAATGTTGACTAAAATGCAAAAATCGTTATTGAATCTGATGTATGCGGAAATGTTCGTTTTTTCGCGCGAATGTATCTTCTTTGAAGGGGGTTCCCTTAAAAAAATATCTTTGTCACAATAAATCAATTTAAAAAATAGCACTTTATGTGCATGTTATTAGCTTACCCCAGGGATAGTACCCTGGGCAATCCAGGGGAATATCTCTGGGAATTGAATAAATTGGGTTCCCTGCCCCTGGGGAGTGTAATATTCAGAACAATATTTCAGTTAGAAGGAAAAAGGTAGGGGTGGGAAAAATTTATACAGTGGAACTTTGATTTAACAAACCTCTATTATAACGAAGTCCTCAGTATAACGAACGATTTTCTTTACCCCTCTGATAGTAAAATATATGGAAAAGAACCTCGATGTAACGAAACCTTGTTACAGTGAACACATGTTGCCAGTCCCTTGGCCCTTCGTTTTATCGAGGTTCCACCGCGAATAACAATCCGATGGTTGGCCCGGGGTCCTACCCCTGGGATTAGCTGATGGCATATGTGGGATAAGTTTAGGTCTGGGTAACTGCCCACCTACCCCTCCCCTAACTTAAAGTTAACATTTGTGTCTCACTTGGGGCAAATGTTCATTACCGAAGTGTACCCAAGGTTTTTTTGCTGACAAAGTATTACTAGATCACCCATTAAAGAAATTATAACTGATGGTTCAGATGAAAGTTGCTTTATTTCAGCTCAGTTTATCTTAACATCAACAACACATTTCTTCTCAGTGAAAGTTAGCTAGAGGATGGGAGCAATCCCACTCTTTTTGGATTTCTTTTTCCACTCCAGTTTTCTATCCCTAGGGAACAACAGCAGACAACAAACACACCACACATGATAAGTCAGATTTCAGTCATTTTCTGAACTGATGACGAGGCCCACCGCAAAGATTTCACCACAACTATGTTAAAGTTACATCATGTTTTGACACCTTTGTATTGCTGCCCAAACAGTGTATGTTTTAGGCCTGATATAAGCAACTTAAAGCCGCCGGCACAAACTTTCTACTAAATTGAGCATTGATCTTAAAGAGTCCCTGTTTTACTTCACTGCAGCTTTAAACCTCTGAACCTGTGGTTGGAACCACCTACCCTAGCAGCAGCAATTCAAGATCAAACGAAATTTTCTGCAACTCTGCCCATTGTCCTGGAAGATTTTCTTACATAATAACAGGAATGAGTCAGCAAAGGCTGATCAATAATGTTTTAACATGTTGGCGGGAGCCACAATGAGGGTGTAAGAAAATCTTTTGGACCACAGAAAACAGTTTCAAAAACTTCCATTTAATCTTGAGAATCATAATCAAGAAAGAAAAAGATGTAAACAGAACTAACGTTAACGCGGTGGTTTGAGGAATTTAGATTACGATGGGCCTGGAACAAGGTGTTCACTCCTTTCCAGCAAGGTACTTGATAAGATCCACAACACGGTGGCTGTAGCCATATTCATTATCATACCTGGGAAAAAAGACAGACAAAATTTTGAGAACGATTTTGCTGACCTTGCCTGTGAATAATTTAACCAAGTTATTACTAACAGAGGTTCAGACAGTATGAATACAAACACTACATGACACATTAAAATGCATTCAGGATTTTACAGTATCTTCACACCCTCGAACTGGATCAAGTAATAATTGAATTAGGATTGTTAAGAGGTTGTTTTGAATTGGTTGTTTTGGCACTTATTTTGAATCATTCATCTTAAGGATCAAAAGTTGAAGATTGCAGAACTCAACATTCAACTTCAAAGTAGGAGCGCCACTCAAAAACCAAGGAGGTGGTACAGTAATTTGCTGGTGATGCCATAGCAGATTAAGTTCAGCTGTATTTGTTGGGTCATGAGAGAGCTGTATACATACAACTCGGACTCAGACTCCGTCACAACTTAAAGTAAAGTGAGTCATTACTTTCAGAGCCCCACAGCAAGGAGCACCCCATCCCCCCAACAGCAACTGCTCCCAACTCAAGTCATGTACAAAAACCAGGGTTAGTATACTGTTTTGAGCAAAAAATTCAAGGCCTTTATCAGTTTTGCGCACTTTTACTTTTCGCCGGATACAAGGCTGCGAAGAGTTCTTCTTGTTTACAAATTGTTGTAGGCCTTTATAGGACCGGACTAGAAACGGGAAGACAAATTTCAAAACAAAAATGACACTAAAAACGAAAGAAAGAAAGAAAAAGGGAAGAAGAAAAATTTTCAAGAAGGAAGAGGGAATAAACCTAAAATGCAAGCGTGTTTTTCCAAAACATTACACGACCAGTCTGTTTCTACTCGCTGCTTTCACACTTATTGCCCACAATTCATCTTGATTACACACCCCCAACCCCCCCCCCCCCCCCTACCGCTTCCTTTTGCTCCCTATGCTATATTTTGCACAACCGATTGATTTCACATTCCCTTTGAATGACTGTACTGACCCAGGAAAAATTGAAAACAACTGTTATGCAAAATTTGAAGGGTGAGCAAGATGTATTATGGGAAATATGAAATTTGGGGAAAAGACTTTAAGTTCTTTCTTTTTGACATTGGAAACAAGGCTTTTTAGGTGATAAGCTAAAGTATTTTATTAGCGATGTAACCGATCGCGTCCGCTCTTGCTTTTTTAGGATGGACAGAAGGAACAAGGATCGACCAAGGTTGTATCGCCATCATGGATTTGGAAGTGTATTAGGGAGGGTCGTCTCGTACCATGTACCAGTTCATAAATTTCTTGTATAAATTTTCAGCATTCGATCACTTTGATGCCAGGTTTCAATTCTTCTCGGATCAACTGCCTTGGATAATTGGAGAACTCCTCGAAGTCTTCAATCGTGCTCTTAGTTTGATCGAGTACTCTACCGCCGCCAGTCAAAAGAAGTGAGCTTGGTTAAAGACCATTGAAAAAAAGAGTTTACCGACTGAGGCTGATGGAATAGATAGATTAACTATTAAAATGAATGTTATGTAGTCATATAGATTTGTTACGTAGATGTTAGTCTACCTCGTGAAACAAAAAACTATTCTCCTTTGACGGAACTTTGTAAAGTTCGAAGAAAGGAATCTGACTTAGTTTTATACCGCCTTGTGAATCTCATCTCTTTTGAGATTTTCAATACAAACGTTCTACTAAAATCTTGTCCCCGAATCCACGCCATATATATTATGTCAATATAAGACGAAGCCCGCCCGAATAGTCTTAAGATTTCGTAAAAATTTCTGCAGCTGCCATTTTTTCTGGAGGATTTTGTTGCACAGTATCAGGGATGACTTGGCCGAAGGTTGATTAATGTATTTGCTGGAAACACACACATAAACGACCTCCGATTGGACAAAATATATAGACGGAAATTTACTCCGTGAAAGGATGGGGAAATGACGCTTTTTGGCTTCCGCGTGGCTTTTTTGCCCCTTATTTTAAGCCAATGGGGAGTTGCTTTCCCAGTTTAATCTGTCCAAGGATTGTGCGCGTGTGTGACGTGTTGAGTGTACACAAATATTGAACAAAATTTCGGTAGTCCGTGCCCTGCCTAACAAACTTTTCCGAACGAATTAGGGAGAGAAAGCCTCTTCATTCCTCTGACGTTTTTTCTCTCCCCAACCCTCGCGCGGAATCTCCTGCCGACACCCATGCTTCAAAGAGCTGATTAACAATTCTCAGAAATACAGGATGTTGTTATTCTTCCATCAAACAATGAAAACACGTCAAGAAACTCTATTTGATTGGTTGATAATACAGAGTTTAGTCTGAATCACAAGACAAAAATTCATTGTTCATTAGCAAAGCCATTCCCTTGATCGGCCACAATTTTTAACAAGTAACCTTGTTTCGGAACTTTTCCATGGATACAAAGACCTTGCTTGACAATCTTCATGATGAAGTATCCTGTTCTGTGTGTATGTGTACATTCACTGATCCAAAGCAGTTGCCTTGTTTTCACAGTTTCTGTCTTCACTGCCTGAACGGAATTCAACGAACGAGCGGCGTCCGTGGCAAAATTACATGCCCCGAGTGTAGGAGACAGTTCCAGATTTCTGGAAGTGGAAATCCCAGCGAACTTCCCACTAATTTTCGAATAAACAGCTTGCTAGATGTCTTGGCAATAAAAGAGTGCAGTAGTGTCAACGTAAAATGCAGAAACTGCGACAAACGAAGCGCCCAGACCTCGTATTGTTTCCAGTGTTGTTCGTCATTCTGGTGTGAAGAATGTATTGTAGGACATAACATTATGCGAGAAAATAAAGAACACAGAACGCTAGCGTTGAAAGATTTTCAAGAGCAAGACATCAAAGCTGTTTTAGAGCGACCAGCATTTTGTCAGAAGGAACACCATGAAAAAAAATAGTTGAAGTTCTTTTGCAAGGACTGTAAAGTCGCCATTTGCAACATTTGTGCTGTAACACTACTTCATGATATGAAGGTCATGGTAAGATGCCCTTGCAAGAAGCTACTGATGAGCGCAAAACACGGATTAGGTCCATGGTAAAATCTTTGAAAGACAAATTACTGGAAAAACAAAAGGAGGTCGAGCAATTCAACCAAAAGAGCATCGCATTTCAATCGAAAGTAACCGAGGTAAAAAGCCAAGTGCAATCTTTAGTAGACCAAATTATTGCAATCATCGAAGCGAGGAAACAAGATGTTTTTGATGCAGTGGATAGTCAAGCGAAAAAATTACTGGAATCTCTTTCACTGAAAAAAGACGAAGTGGAAAAACAATTAAAAATAATTGAATCCGCAATTGAACAAACTGAAACTCTGTTGAAACGAAGATTTTGCACTGAAATCCTTGGATTCAGTGAAACATTTGATACAATCCTGCAGGAAGAGAGCACCCAAGAAAACCGTGAGACTGAATGTATTCCTCGGTTTAGTTTTACTAAAAGTGAAAAACTGATTAACCTGTTAAGCATGAGCGAGGGCATAGGTAAAGTAGAATTTGTTTTTAGCGAAACTAAAGTGCATCAATCAGGAGCTAAAGGTAAAGAAAGTAGTAAAGTAGTTGCTGGGAATGAAGGGGCAAATGTTCATGACAGTCCTCTTGAGACTCAGGTACAAACCAGGCACTTCTTCAGATCTGTGCTGTCATTTGGAGAAAAAGGTGAGTCTGTTGGAATGCTTCACTGGCCTTGTGGTGTGGCAGTGAATGATCATGATGAAATTGCTGTGACTGAGTTCGGTAACCACAGGGTTTCAGTGTTTAGCAGTGACGGCACCCACTTAAGATCGTTTGGTAGATACGGTAACAATAATGGTGAATTCTATTGCCCTACAGGGATCGCTTTTGATAGTCTTGGCAATATTCTAGCGGCAGACAGAGGAAACCACAGAGTGCAAGTCTTTGATAGGAATGGTAACTTTCTTAGTAAGTTTGGTGAATATGAAAGTCGTGATAATCAGCTTACATACCCTGAAGGTTTATCAATAAACGGCAACGGTGATATTATTGTTGTTGATCAGGGTAAGCAATTAATCAAGATATTCTCTTCTAGTGGGGAGTATTTATGTAAATTTGGTGGAGCAGGTTCTTTGGTCGAACCTTGTCACTGTATCCAACATGGTCAATATTTTATAGTCTCAGATTATCATGATCGTTCCATTAAAATGTTCAATCTTGAGGGAAAGTTTATTTCTAAATTTGGAAAACAGGGACACAAGGATGGAGAGTTCAATAAGCCCCGTTACTTGTCAGTTAACAAAGAAGGATTGTTAATAGTCTGTGATGCAGGAAATGCCAGAGTTCAGTTATTCGAACTGAGTGGAAAGTTTGTTACAGAGTTTGGAAGTAAAGGTAGTGGGAGAGGAAAGTTAAGGTTTCCAGTGTCTACAGCAAATCTTAGCGATCGAAGGATAGTTGTGTGTGAAATGGATAACAACCGAATCCAAGTGTTTGACAAGATATAATATGATCTTACCAGTGGTATTATTGTTGAAAAGTTTAAATTGGTTATCAAGAATAAGAAACCTTAATTTTACGAACAGCACCATCTCGTGAGGTATTTCTCACTGTTGACCTTTTCTAGTTGCCGGAGGGGGGAGGCATTAGGTTGCCCTCAAATGTAGTTTGTCTTTCTGTGAATGTTACAATAAATTATAGAATCGTGGCTGTAATAATAGCTGAAATGACATTCAACTTGTAAATATATTTTGTAACCTTTTTTCATTGTAGTATCATTGAATTGCCGATTGTAGTTTAATAAGGTTGTTCAATTTTTTGGTATCAAAATTGTTTTGTATGTTGTACACCTTTTCATTTTCTTTCCAGCAGTTGCTAGTTGTTAGCCAGTGTATTTTTGGAAATATTATTCCCGAGCCCTTAGCTCAAGTACCTTTTTTTTCTCAACAGGTTGTTCAGGTCCGTTCATTATAACATATACTAACCGAATTGTATAAAGATTTCATTCTTTTGTTGAAAATGCATTAAAGATAATCAAATATAAAGAAGGTTTTTTTGTTGTTCAAATTTATCGTTGTCAAGGAGACCGTCATATGTGGAAGTTAAACGTACCAGAATACTACAATGCTGATCGTACTACGTGAAAATTAACTTTGCGAGACATCAACATGACACCGAAAGAACTAAAAACAGAGCGGAATTGTATCCACAGACAGCTTTTTCGCTATTATTGCAGCTCCTCAGTATGGCGTAACAACTAGAGAAAGCTCTGTTGAAAAAAACCCGCGCACTCTTATTTACCCTAACCTCAAGCGGTGTGCGTCACGAGATCGACCAATCAGAAAGCGTTATTTGTAGAGTGATTTTCGCGCTTGGAAAGAGCTGTTTTTTAGAGGTGTATGTTGCCCTAACCTAGAACTCATAATACCCACAGAAGACAGAATCATGCGCCATTTTACGCGTGTGATGGAGGCCAAGAGGCCAAGTGTCAAGTTGATGTCTCGCAAAGAAAATATAAAGGAGCCCTCGCTAGCCGAAAAGAACTCACGAATCAGGTAGAAGAACTGCTCATGCAGTTCATGCAAATCTCAACAAGGAACACAAAGAGGTGAGTAAGTGGTTTCGTGAAAACAAGATGATCTTGAACCTTGAAAAATGTAAGGCGCTGGTTCTCGCGCGAAGCCTAATGCCCGCGGTTTGCTGAAGGTGCTGCTGTACCACTAGAAAAAAGTTACTATATTCAGGGATATGTTTGGGTTAACACTGGACGATTCCCTGAATTCTGTAAAACACGTTACGAAAATTAGCACTGAAGAAAGTTGGAAAGCAGCTAGATGTTCTTTGTAGATCGTATAGAATATACACTGTAGGAGGGTCTTAATGGGGTTAACCGCCAGTGCAGCCGTCAAATGCATGGCCTCAAATTTAACCGTCAGCCGACGAAAAAGAAAAAAAGATTTGTTTTTTTTTACTGTCAACCGTGAAAAAGGCAGATTAATATTAACCGTAAAAAAGTTTCAAGGCTTTCAAAAAATGTGACTTTTTCAGCCAATCTTCTGGCTTCCCTATTGACCACCTAACCAGCAGAAACCGGAAACGGGCTTTGAAAAAATCTAGGATCGAGAAGACCAGCAAACGGCTATGCCGTTAAGAAATTTCAAAATTCGTTTGGAGCCCTTTTGCGAATGCCGCAATGCCGGGGTGCATTGTAAGCAGTTTGCACTGTAAGTGTCAACAGATCAGATTCACAAGACACAAATCGACACAAAACTTAGTCGGATTACCGGGATATTTTCAAACTTTTCTAATATTCGTTCAAAGGAGCAATTACCATTGATCATGTTTTCGTTCGTTGAGGAAAAAACTACATCACAAATTCAAGAATAAATACATAATGCCCCAAAATGTTATTGAATGTTGACTAAAATGCAGAAATCGTTATTGAATCTGATGTATGCACAAATGTTCTTTTTTTCGCGCTAATGAGTGTATCTTCTTTGCGTATTATATTTCTTAAGCACGCGAAGGGGTACCAATATTTTTTTAAAATAATATCTTTGTAACAATAAATCAATTAAAAACATAGCACTTTATGTGCATGTCATTAGCTTACCCCAGGAATAGGTCCCTGAGCAATCCAGGGGAATATCGCTGGGAATACAAGTGAATAAACTGGGTTCTCTGCCCAGCGCCGTAGCTAGTATGAGGCCAACCGAGGCACTCGCCTCGGTAAAATTTTGACGAATTTCGCCGATCATTTTTATTTTACATAAGCGATCATCGGATATTTTTAACGTATCATGATATTACAAAGAATTCAGCAATTCAGTCAATATACTATGAAAAAATTACCATATCATCGATCTCAAGGGGCTACGTACGTTAACTCAAATTTTTTTGAACAAATACTGATCAAAACCATTGGCGAGGTTAACGGTCACGCAGATTATGTAGCTTGTTTCTGATTATTGCTTTTTAAATTCCACTTAAATTAACTCGAAAAAAAGTTACCGAAAGGCCCAGAAAACGCTGCAAATCGCATTTCCGAGAGACTAAAGTTCACAATTTCTCGGGGGGGGGGGGCATGCCCCCGAACCCCCCTAGCAACTCCCGCCTGCCTCGGTTGGCCGTTTGGTCTGGCTACGGCACTGCTGCCCCTGGGAAGTGTAAATGTCAGAACAATATTTCAGTCAGAAGAAAAAGGGGTGGGAAAAATTTATAGAGTGAAACCTCTATTTAACAAAACTCTGTATAACGAAGCTCGTCAGTATAACGAACGATTTTCTATACTCCGTCTAATAGTAAAATATATGGAAAAGAACCTCGATGTAATGAAACCTCGTTACAGCGAACACATGTTGCCAGTCCCTTGGCCCTTCGTTATATCGAGGTTCCACTGTGACTTATAATCCGATGGTTGGCCCGGGGTCCTACCCGTGGGGTAAGCTGACATAGGCGTACGGGAAATCTTTTACCAGGGGGGGCGGTAAACCATTTGCCAAAAAAAATCTCGCAAGTTGCCCAAATTTGTACGAAAGAGTCGAAAAGAAATGAGGGCCATATTGCTGGCTCGATACAGTTTTTCAGGGTCAATACCAGGTCTGAGCATAAACTACGTCGCCATAAATAAACATTTGGAAAAATTGCGACCACAGTTGTATTAAGATGAAACTTTGTCATCATCAGGGTTGCAATGACATCGGAGTTGTCATAGCAACGAAATGACTCCATTACCTATTTCACTTCAGCAATGATTCTCGGCACGGGAACCTTACAAAATCGTTCACAGGAGCTTTTTTCTCCAATACGGTCGCCTCGATGTTCCTGAAGTTTAAGCAAAACCTTAAGAGCGTTATCGAGATATTTTGGAATGAAGTTTTTATTATTAGAAATACGGTAAGAAAAGGAAAATCATTCATTATTGGCCGTTATCTGTAGAAAACGAAACGCTTTTGACCTGTAATTTCAATCAATCAATCAATCAACAACTTTATTTAAGTGTCTAGTCTTCTAGCTTGCCGTCAGGCCTACTAATCGAGGACACTACTTAAATAACTTATTAATAAGAAAGATATATACATAATACTATAAGCCAATAAGATTTAACTATTCTAAAACTACTTAAAAGATACACGATATTCAATATGCTTCGAAAAATACACGTATGTAATAAATGAGAAAAAACTATATAAACAATTTCATAATATATCCACTCTACGAGTAATGATATTTCCTGTTTATGAATTATGAGTCACACAGGTCAGCACCCTTTGCATGTGTTATCACTAACTAATTTGCTCAGATCTTTTCTCCTTATATTTGCTTTAAACCTGCTTAAGGAGGTCTCGTTTCTGTCCTTCATACTCAATTTTGACCATGGCCCAAAAATCTGAGGGAATGCTTTCCATATTTAACAGTTTTTACCCTTTCAACGTGAAAGTCCGAGTTCCTGAGGTTGTAGTTCGAAAGCGATGACGAGAAGAGTTCTAGTATGTTGTTACCTCATAGTAGTTTTAATCTTTTTAAAAACGTGTGAAAGATCGTGGAGATAGCTCTGCTTGATAACTAGAATCGAAAGAGGATTTGATTAGTATGTATCGAGACACTCTTGTTAGCGGTTTTGTAAACATTTCGGTCTACTTTAACAAATTAGCGAATAATTTTCAACCGCTCGATAGATTTTTTAAAAGAATTAAGATTCTTCTCGTAATTCAAACTGAGAATTAGTCAGCCACTTCTTCATTTTCATACCCATTGCTAAATGCTATCTGCCATACACTGTTCTTCGAGTGGAGATGAATCTAGAAAGTTACGTGAAAGTTTATTTTAATCAATCAGGAGCAATTCACGACTGGAAATAGCCCATTCCAGCTCGTGCAGTGCAGTATACTAGTGCCCAACAAAAAAAAACTGCAAATATGTAAATTACTCATCACATGCTACGCAACCACTGTAATGTAACTGGATCATTACGCCGACTTCAGGTTAATATTCAGGTCTTTAAAATAATTAAATAAACGTGGAGACGTCTTTAAAAACTGGCTTTGCCCAAATTTTCTCTCGCTGCCCAAAAAATCTGAGTTGCCCAAAATTTGCGGGGGGCTGCAACCCCCTCGCCCCCCGGCCCGTAGACCTATGTAAGCTGATGGCATATGTCGGATCAATTTAGGTCCGGAAACTACCCACCTACCCCTCCCCTAACTTAACGTTAACATTTGTGTCTCACTTGGGGCAAAATGTTCATTACCAAAGTGTACCCAAGGTTTTTTCGCTGACAAAGTATTACTAAAGTATTATTAAAGAAATTATAACTGATGGTTCAGATGAAAGTTGCTTTATTTCAGCTCAGTTTATCTTAGCATCAACATCACATTTCTTCTCAGTGAACGTTAGCTAGAGGATGGGAGCAATCCCACTCTTTTTGGATTCTTTTTCCAATCCAGTTTTTCTATTCCTACGGAACAACAGCACACAACAAACACACCACACATGACAAGTCAGATTTCAGTCATTTTCTGAACGGATGATGTGGCCCACCGCAAAGATTTCACCACAATGTTAAAGTTACATCATATTTTGACACCTTTGTTTTGCCCAAACAGTGCATGTTTTAGGCCTGACATAAGCAACTTAAAGCCACTGGCACAAACTTTCTACTAAATCGCACCTTAATCTTAAAAAGAGTCCCTGTCTTACTTCATTGCAGCTTTGAACCTCTGAACCTGTGGTTGGAAGTCTAAGCTAGCGGCAGCAACTCAAGATCAAGTGAAATTTTCTGCAACTCTGCCCATTGTCCTGGAAGATTTTCTTACACAATAACAGGGATGACTCAGCTAAGGCTGATCAATAATGTTTTAACATGTTGCCTGGAGCTACAACGAGGGTGTAAGAAAATCTTTTGGACCACAGAAAACGGTTACAAAAACTTCCATTTAATCTTGAGAATCATAATCAAGAAAGAAAAAGGTGCAAACTGAATTAAAGTTAACACGGTGGTTTGAGGAATTTAAATTACGATGGGCCTGGAACAAGGTGTTCACTCCTTGGCAGCAAGGTACTTGATAAGATCCACAACACGGTGGCTGTAGCCATATTCATTATCATACCTAGGAAAAAAGACAGAAAATTTTGAGAACGATTTTGCTGACCTTGCCTATGAATAATTTAACCAAGTTATTACTAATAGAGGGTCAGACAGTATGAATACAAACACTTCATAACACATGAATTAATTTAAAATGCATTCAGGATTTTGCAGTATCATCATACCCTCTAACTAGATCAAGTAATTAAAGGATTGTTCAAAGGTTAAATCAAAGATGCCCTAAAAACAACTGCTTTATGCTTCCCTCATAAACCGTAAATGGCACTTATTATTAATCATTCATCTTAAGGATCAAAAGTTGTAGACTGCAGAACTCAACATTCAACTTCAAAGTAGGAGCGCCACTCAAAAACCAAGGAGGTGGTACAGTGTTTGCTGCTGGCAATGCCATAGCAGATTAAGTTCAGCTGTATTTGTTAGCTCCCGAGAGAGCTCAGTATACATACAACTCTGACTCAGACTCCATCACAACTTAAAGTAAAGTGAGTCATTACTTTCAGAGCCCTACAGCAAGGAGCACCCCATCCCCCCCAACAACAACTGCTCCCAACTCAAGTCAAGTACTGTTTTGAGCAAAAAATTCAAGGACTTTTCAATGACATATTTTACATTTTATTTTTCAAGGACCCCATTTAGTGCAAAAAAAGCCTTGAAACTATGTCTTTTTTAGAGTCTTTTTAATTCTTTCACAACATGAGCAATTTTATCCTGGAGGTCTTTCTGTGTTTGTTCCTTTTAAAGACGTGAGAATCTGGGTCGGAAAGTTACTATCAAAATTGAAAGGACTTTCCAGCACCAACTGCAATTTTCAAGCTCTTTCACGGTCTAGCTTGGATTTTTCTTTGAAAATTCAAGGACATTCAAGGACTTTTAAGGTGCATGCTTTTGCTTACCAGGCTACAAGCTTAACAAAATTTGGATTCAGAGAAATTCCAGCCGCCGCATCAAAGACTGAAGAATAAGTGCTGCTAATGAAGTCAGTGGATACAACTTGCTCATCAGTGTATCCAAGGTATTTTTGAAGTGCTGGATCTTCTGATGCTTTCTTCATCACTGCCTTAATTTCATCATATGATGCCTACAACAGAAAAGAAATGAAACAAAGAATGAATGAAAAAGAAAATGGGATGTAACTTATTTGTAAATTAGTACGACGGGAAATTGGTGCAAAGTTGCTACAGAAGAACACTAAGCAAAACACTGCATGGCTTGAATGTTCAGTTTTAATTTTGTTTTTAACAATGTAAGCCTGAATCAACCCTTTAAGTCACATTAATGACCAAAATCAATTTTCTCCTAGCAATATCCATACATTATCAAGAGATAAGGTTATGAGAATTAATTTAATGATCATCAAAGACAAAATGCCTTGATGATCTTTTATCAATTCTCTCAACTAATTCTTAAAGGAAATGTATAGAGATCAGTTTGAAGAATTTGTATGTGGATATTGGGGCTTAGAGGGATAAAGTAGGCTTTGCATCAAATACAGTCAAACCTCCATTATTTTATGGCCCCCACCTGTCTAAAATGGCCACCTGTTCACAACAGCCACTTTTTTTGGCAGACTGTCCATACATTGACTCTTGTTTAAACCTCTCTACAATGGCCACCTCTCTACACTGACGAATTGTGTGAGGTTTGATCATATTATTTTTCATCACAGCTTCCATCAGGGTTCACAAATACGCCAAATTTGGCGTATTTTACGCCAAAATTGTTCAGATGACTCCATTGAGGTTACAGAGGGAGTCACTTCGACTCCAGAAATTTTCGGTAACAAACACAGTTTTGTTCTTATCTTTTTCGTAACAAATACAATTTACGTTAATTGTAAATGTTGTAAACCTTAATTAAATCATCGAAATTAAAGAATAATACTGCACAACAAAACAGGAAGAGTTTACTCGATGACCGCCATCATGGATTTGAGCTTTCCAGGTTAGCGGACCGCCACAGCTACTTTGTGTATCCGTCACGATAGTGTATACATGCCAGGACCATGTGCTGGAAAGTCTGAAAGTGGCTTTTTTCATTTTTGTGATACTTAACCCCAAATATTCCAATATGCAGGGTGCAAAGAAAATCTTTTTTACAGCTTGCCTTCCGGGCAAGCTGAAGCTAGCATTTACTAGCCCAGTCATCATTTCAACTAGTCCCAAAAGCTTTTTGACAAGCAGAATTGATTTCACAGTTCTTCTGTTATTTGAATTCCTCAAAACACATCACTTGCCCGCCGGGCAAGATAAAAACAGAATTCACTAGCCCGATAGCAAAATCCACTAGCCCCGGGCTATGGGACAGGACTTTCTTTGCACGCTGAACATGACTCCAAAATTTGTGAAGCAGAAGTCACACTGACTCCACTCATCAATAAAATTTGCAAACCCTGTTCCATACACACTATGAATTTTTCACCAACTAGATAATCGTGTACAATTATAGACATTTGTTACTAAAGGCCATCTTGGATTTGCCATAGTCCTTTTTGTGTCTGCTCAGTTTACTGTGAGACAGATAGGATGTTTAATTCTAAGGCAGGATATAGGCTACCACCATTTTATAATGTAACCTGAAACATTTTGGTTGAGGGCCTAACTCTTAATGGAGCACACAAACATCTACAATACCATACTCTCGTCAAATGGCTGCTCTGAGGTCTTGTGACAGCTACAAAACCATGTACAATCAACTGTTGAAGGCTGGGTGATTCAGCCAAAACACTTCAGAACAAAAATTTATGTTTCCAGTCTATATTTAAAATTAAAGTCGAAGTTCCCTTACACGGACACCCAAAATGAACAGATTTGGTGGTCGCTTACAGTTGATGACTTACAAGAATCAAACCACAGGGGGTGTCGTCTGAGAAGAGGTCAGATCACATCTTCATTATGGAAGATAATTCACTGCATGCAATTTCTAAGTTGCAATGTGTGTAGTTATAGTTGCCCCGGGCTATTGGACACTACTTTCTTTGCACGCTGAAAACAAAGGAAAGTTATTTAACCATCATCCCCGAAAAGTGGTATCAGTTGCTTACAAGAGGTGGTCGTTTAAGACAGGGTCCAACTCTAAGGCTTTAACTGGGAAAACCCTAACGTTTTTAAATATTATATGGAGGTTCAACTGTAATTCATTTTTGGAATTGGCCACTGAGGGCTAATGAAATATTTAAAAAAATGCTCTGACTAGTGTCACACTACATGTAGGTAATCAACACAATAAAGCCAAAAGTGCTGACAGTTCAACATACAATGACGCAGCGCCTTACCCCCTTCTTGAGTCTGCAGGTAAGATCCACCACAGAGACATCTGGAACAGGAACACGGAATGCCATACCAGTCAGCTTTTCATTCAGTTCAGGAATAACCTTCCCAACAGCCTTAGCAGCACTTGTAGATGCTGAAATTACATTCTGATGAGCTCCGCCGCCATCACGCCAGTTCTGGGGAGGAGACAAAGGGGAAATAAGGTAAGTTCAAACATCATGTATTTTTCAATACCACCCTTGGTTCATATCCCAGAATGTATTTGCCAATAATCTAAACTGGATTGTTAACAAAACGGCTGGGAAAAACTTAATAGAGTTTGAACACACCAGGCAACATGTCATCCCCAAAAAGCAAGTTACTTGTGTACTAACAATCAGGCATCGAGTAGCATAACACTTTGCAGCAACAAATCTCTTTGTGCGACTTGTTGCAGCGGCAAAATTCTGTTGCGGAGACAAGATTTTCAGAAAAATTCTTGAAATAAGCAAAAAGTAATTTGTCCCTGCCACATCACATATTGCTGCAAGATGTTACTGCATCTTGTGACCAAGTGTTCCAACCTTTTACACATATCTACAGAAAAATGGAATGTTTTGAACTTCTCTTTCGCAGATTGTTCAAGACAATAACAAAACTGGTTTTTTTTTTACCAAAACCTGACTTTGAAAAAACCTGAGTTTTGAAAAAATGATCTAAGTTTATGGGAAAAAAAACCCTGAGTTCTGAAAAAAAGTTTTTTAAATCAAGCAAAAACTTAAGCTTTTACAAAGGAAAAAATTATAGGTATGAAAATCAAACCGCAAACCTAAAATAATACCTTTTAAAAGTAGGTTGCGTTTGATCGTCCAGGTGAACGTAGTCCTGAATAGGATTGTTGTTGTTGACAGTGACTGACGTTTTGACAACCTGTTCGGTAGTCAACTTCAGAGTCAAAGTGAGTTGTATCATGTCAGTTGATGGTATTATGCTGTGGTTGTTGATCTGATTCCTCAATTACGCTGCGATGTTATTGGTTGTCTGTCAGTTAAGCCGTGATGTTATTAGCTATGAAGACTCGTAATCAGTAATTGGTGCGTTTCAACCCGTCTATTGTCACAGTTAAACAGTCGTCTATTGTTAGTCAAATTGTCAGTTCTCGAATCGTTCTCTCGTAGTTAGGTTTGCTTGATCTCGTCAATAAGTCATTTGTATGGCGCTGGTAACTGTTGGCTACAATTCAGTGGCGTTTGTTCTAAGTTAGTAAACCAGATTTCTAGAGTACTGGACGTTGATAGTAGACTGTAGAATACATTATACAGTCATGTCGCAGAGTCCCAGTCAATTTGATGTTTTGTCTGAAAATGGTACTCAGCAATGTGATTGCTGACGTCACCATTCCTTGTCGCTCATTTGTGTTTGGTCAGTTGAGTGCTAAGGTTTCTGCCGGTTTCACCAATGTAAGAAGCCTGGCAGTTGCAGCATTTGATCTTGTACACTGCTCCCTGCATGTCCTCCGGTTTGTCTTTGTCCTTGACATTAGTAAGCAGTCGACATAAAGTGGTTAACGGTTTGTGTGCAATACGTATATTGTAAGGTTGTAATATACGTGCGATAGTTTCAGAGGTGCCTCTGATGTACGGTGTAGTAGACCTGTCGTAACAGGGCCAGAATATTATTGATGTTGGTCTGAGTGTTGGAATCAATGTTACTGTGAGTGTTCCATCTAACAAAGTCCGTGTTGTAATTGTTCTTACTAAAACGTTGTTAAGATAATCAGTCTCGTCTTGTAGGCTGTCAGGTGAGTCGCAAACTAGTTGCACTCGTCTCGTCAAAATCCGGATAGTAGTAGCCTTGTGACAGGTCGGGTTGTACGAAGACTGGTCTAGTAATCGGTCAGTATGTGTCAGTTTTCTGTAAATAGTAGTTTGTAGTTTGTTGTTGTCATGAGTGACCAAGCAGTCTAGGAAAGGTATCTTACCATTTTCTTTGATCTCTTAGTGAACTGTAAGTCCGTGTTCTGTCTGTTAAGGCGTTCGTGAAAATCGTCGATTCCATCTTTGTGTATGGCGGTGAATGTGTCGTCAACGTAACGTAACCAAAGAGGTAAAGTTCGTGTGTAGGCAGCTAGGGGTTGTTCCTCGATGTTTTGCATGACAATTTCTGCTACAACAACAGAAACTGGAGCATCGCGTAGAATGCCCGGTCACATCCGGGAACTCAACAGGCTAGAGCCACATTCGAGCCACGACATGGCGGAATAATGAGACTGAAGCGACTTTGAGAGTTTTTTGTCTCTGACTGTGAGTTACTCGTAACCAAACCTCAATGGGTAGCACCGGAATATTTGTATCAAGAAACATCAAATTCAAGATCTTACCTTCGACTAATGCCAGCTTATCGGATTTCACTGGGTCTTTCACGCTAAAAACCAACCGAAACATCGCCATTTTTGTATGGACTTTCACCTGCGTAGACGTTTGCGGAAAGATTACAACCAAAGTTTGCAGAAATCGCGAACGGTAACACCTGATATCGTGACACCTCTCGTCTGCCTTTAAAACCACCACAGTCTTTTAAACCAAGGATTGTGATAAAAACTGGGTTTTTTGTTTTCCTTTGAATTTGACCTGAACCCGTGCGGGGTAGCCAGCGCGAAGAAAACTTCCAGAAAACGTCTTCGAAAAGCCAAAAAAATTTCTCCGCGTTTCGGCCATCATTTTTATTTTTCAAACTTGTTTCCAGTACTCTTTGACCGTTTTATTGTTTTTACGTCATGTATGCTTCATTTAGAAGTGTCACGGCTGAAAACGGCAAAATACTAACCCCTACCCGGACGGGAAATTTTTTGTTGACCTAAATGGACTGGGAATTCTCTGCGACGAGCCCATAGCTGTACCGTGTAACTGTTTTTAGTGTTTGCCGTTGTACTGAAAGTACGTCGAAGTCAAACAGAGGTTGAGTAGGTCCATAATGTCGTCTGTAGGTAGTGGTAGTTCAACAATAGAGTTCTTAATAGCGTTCTCAGTACTTTCTAGCGCCAGTTGAAGTCACGGAATACTGGTGAACAGTGATTTCACGTCAAAGGGCACTAGTTTGTGGTCGTCCGGTATCTGTATTTTCTTAATGGCGTCAATAAAGTTCTCAGTAGACTGTTGTTTATGTTTAGATTCGTCCGTCAGAGGTCAACAACCAGATCGACCAATCAGATCAACCAATCAGATCAACAACCACAGTATAACTGAATACCATCAACTGACGTGATACAACTCACTTTGACTCGAAAGATGACTACCGCACAGGTTGTCGAAACATCAGTCACTGTCAACAACAACAGTCCTATTCAGGACTACGTTCACCAGGACGATCAAACACAACCTACTTTTGAAATGACTCCTGGGTTCAAACCTTTCACCATAATACCTTTTACCGAGATTCAAATTTCCTAAAATAAATAGCTGGGTTTTTATGCCCCTTACGGGCCACCGTAGTAACGTGTATCATAACCTACCGTTTCTGTAATGCAAAGAACGTATTTTGACATCCTTTTCATTTTTTTCAAGCGCTTGAAAAGCATCTTTCATGGACTGACAATTTTCCTCTCGAAAGACCTTAAAGATCACGCAAAATTCAAAAGATATATTATTGCGTATCCTTTGAGATACCTTTTTGTCTAATTTAATAAAAATTGAGCCAGGAAAACATATGTTGCCGTCGTCGACAGCGTACGAAACCACATGTTTCTGTGTTTCGTATCCAAAATAGGATTAACAATGAATCCGCACTCCAGCTTGAATTCAGTGGTGGATTTAACCCAAATAGGAATCAGCCTCGCATTGTGAATCAGTGTTTCCAGCTATTTGAAGAGGGAAATTTCCGCTTGAAATCTGGCCAACGGAATGCAAAATGCCCTACGTCCAACCCCTGGTACAGCTATAACGGTAAATCCGTCTTCGGTTTTGCTGTTTTTAATGGTGACCAGTGTTCATCCGCTATTTACCTTAAATCTGGATTCAGAATATTTGCAAAGAAACGCAGCATAACCACCGCTATTGCAATTTGCTCCCCACATTTTATCTGCTACGCTATACTATCATAAGCTTTGATCTATAGCTATATAACAGGACAACTTTTTTAAAACCATTCTTAACATGACTGGATAGTTCTGACGGAGATTTGGAGGAGGAGTTTGAAAAGGCCAGTGTAACACATAAGGGTAAGGGTAAGCAACAATAGGGTAAGAAGATGAAAAATATTTTGCGCACTTTTACTTTTTGTGGGAAAATACAAGGCTGCGACGAGTTTCTTATTTACAAATTGTTGTAGGCCTTTATAGGACCCGACTAGACTGAAACAGGAAGACAAATTTCGAAACAAAAATGAGACTACAACGAAAGTAAGAAATAAGAAGGGAAGAAGAAAAATTTGCAGAAGGAAGAGGGAATAAACGTAAAATGCAAGCGTGTTTAAACTCACAAGTAATTTGAAAGGTTTAAAAAGTAATAAAACAAAACAAACAAAAAAACGACGAAAAAAGTTAAATATAATGAAAGCACGCTGACCAAAACATTACACGACCAGTCTGTTTCTACTCGCTACTTTTACATTTATTGCCCATAATTGACCTTGGTTACCCTCCTACCCCCTCCCCCCACCCTTTCCGCTCCTTATATTTTGCATAACCATTGCTTTCACATTCCCTTTGAATGACTGTAATTAACCCAGGAGAAGTTGAAAACAGTTGTTATGTAAAATTTGGAGGGTGAACAAGATGTATTATGGGAAATATGAAATTAGGGGAATAGACTGTGTTCTTTCTTTTTGACATTGGAAACAAGGCTTTTTAGGTCATAAGCTAAAATATTTTATTAGCGATGTAACCCTATTCTTATCGCGTCCTCTCTTGCTTTTTTAGGATAGACAGAGGGAACAAGGATCGACCAAGGTTGTATCGCCATCATGGATTTGGAAGTGTATTAAGAAGGGCCGTCTTGTACCAGTTAATAAATTTCTTGTATAAATTTACAGCATTCGATCACTTTGACGGGTTTCAGTTCCTTTCAGGATCAACTTCTTGGAGAACTGGAGAACACCGAGAAGTCTTCAATCGTGCTTTTAGTTGATCGAGTCCTCTACCGCAGCCAGTCAAAAGAAGTGAGCTTGGTCAAAGCTCACTTCAAAGAAATAGAGTTTTCCGACAGAGGCTGATGGAATAGTTTAAGTATTAAGATGACTGTAATCATATAGATTTGTTACGTAAATGTTAGTCTACCTCGTCAAACGAAAATATTCTCCTTTGACGGAACACTGTACAAGTTCGAAGAAAGGAATCTGACTTAGTTTTATACTGCCTTGTGAATCTCATCTCCTTTGAGATTTTCAATACAAAATTTCTATTAAAATCTTGTCCCCAAATCCACGCCATGTATGTCAGTAAAAGAGGAGGCCCACCCGACTAGATAAAAACAAATGAGAATAAAACTGTCTCAATTCTTGACTAGTATATATACTAATTTAAATTTGCAAAAACAAAATTCAGTCGAAATGAGCACTTTACCAGAGTGTCCGTAAAAAATAACAACTGACAATTCAAAAAGAAATCACTGTCAGTTCAATTTTATCTTAACGGCAGTTTTTCGCTCAGAGAACTAAGGAGGGAACAATCCTTCTGTCCGCAAAACGTTTTTTTTTTTCAATCCAATTCTGTCTTTTAAGCGAACTCTAGCAGATAACAATCCGAAAACAGCTTCTAAACTGACAATAAAAAGATACCACCGTTTTAAAGTTACTTCATGTCTTGACTTCGTATAGCCTTGCAATCAGTGCATGCTCTTTTAAAAGCCCGATAAAAGCAACTTCAAGACACCGTACACTGAATTTTCCCTTACAACACAACTTTTAACCCCTTTGTGGTTGGAAGTGTAAGCTCGGCCAAGAGAAACCAAGTCTGTTCTGGAGGATTTTGTTGCACAGTATCAGGGATGACTTAGCCGAAGGTTCATTAATGTATTTGCTGGAAACACACATTATTAACCACCTCTATATTGGACAAAATAGACGCAAAATTTATTCGTAAAAGGATGGAGAAATGGCGCGTTTTGGTTTTCGCGTGGCTTTTTTGCTCCTTATTTTGAGCCACCGAGGAGTTGCTTTCCAGTTTAATCTGTCCAAGGATTGTACGCGTTTTTAACGTGTTGAGTGTACAGAAATATTCAAAAACCTTCAGTAGTCTATGCTTTAACCTGCCTAAAAAACTTTTCCGAACGAATTAGGGAGACTCAAAGCCTCTTCATTCGTCTTTTTTGCTCTCGCCCCAACTTTCGCGCCAAAAACGCCTGCAAAAGGCTGAAAAGGTTACCCATGCTTCAAAAAGCTGATTAACATATTATTCTCGGAAATACAGGATGTTTTTTATTCTTCCATCAAACCATCAAAACATGTCAAGAAACTCTATTTGATTGGCCAATAATACAGAGTTTAGTCTGGGTCACAAGACAAAAGCTCATTGTTTATTCGCAAAGGTAATAATTCCCTTGATCGTCAACACTTAGGTCCAAATTTTTCAAGAGTAGAAACTTGTTGCCGAACTTTCCCATGGATATAAAGACCTTGCTGGATAATCTTCATGATGAAGTATCCTGTTCTGTGTGTATGTGTCCATTCACTGATCCAAAGCAGTTGCCTTGTTTGCACAGTTTCTGTCTTCACTGCCTGAACGGAATTCAACGAACGAGCGGCGTCCGTGGTAAAATTACGTGCCCCGAGTGCAGGAGACAGTTTCAAATCCCTGGAAGTGGAAATCCCAGCGAACTTCCCACTAATTTTCGAATAAACAGCCTGCTAGATGTCTTAGCAATAAAAGAGTGCAGTACAGTCCACGTCAAATGCAGAAACTGCGACAAACGGAGCGCCCAGACCTTATATTGCTTTCAGTGTTGTTCCTTCTGGTGTGAAGAATGTATGAAATGTATTGTAGGACATAACATGATTCGAGAAAATAAAGACCACAGAACGCTAGCACTAAAAGATTTTCAAGATCAAGACATCAAGGCTGTATTAGAGAGACCGGCATTTTGTCAGAAGAAACACCATGAAAAAGAAGAGTTGAAGTTCTTTTGCAAGGGCTGTAAAGTCGCCATTTGTAGCACTTGTGCCATGACGCTTCATGAAGGTCATGGTAAGATGCCGTTGCAAGAAGCTACTGATGAGCGCAAAACCCAGATCAACTCCATGATTCGATCTTTGAAAGACAAAGTACGAGAAAAACAAACGGAAGTCGAACAATTCAACCAAAAAAGCATCGCATTTCAATCGAAAGTAACCGAGGTAAAAAGCCAAGTGCAGTCTTTTGTAGACCAAATCATTGCAATCATCGAAGCGAGGAAACAAGATGTTTTTGATGCAGTCGATAATCAAGCGAAAAAATCACTGGGATCTCTCTCACAGAAAAAAGACGAAGTGGAAAAACAATTAAAAATAATTGAATCCGCAATTGAACAAACTGAAACTCTGTTGAAACGAAGCTTTAGCACTGAAATCCTTGGATTCAGTGAAACATTTGATACAATCCTGCAGGAACAGAGCACTCAAGAAAACCGTGACACTGAATATATTCCTCGGTTTAGTTTCACTAAAAGTGAAAAACTGATTAACCTGTTGAGCATGAGCGAGGGGATAGGTAAAGTAGAATTTGTTTTTAGCGAACCTAAAGCGCAACAATCAGGATCTAAAGGTAAAGAAAGTAGTAAAGCAATAGCTGGGAATAAAGGGGCAAATGTTCGTGACAGTCCTCTTGAGACTCAGGTACAAACCAGGCGTTTCAGATCTGTGCTTTCATTTGGACAAAAAGGTAAGTCTGTTGGAATGTTTAACGGGCCCTGGGGGGTGGCAGTGAATGATCAGGATGAAATTGCTGTGACTGAATACTGGAACCAGAGGGTTTCAGTGTTTAGTAGTGACGGTACCCACTTAAGATCGTTTGGTAGGAAGGGTATGAATAATGGTGCGTTCCAGTGCCCTACAGGGATCGCTTTTGATAGTCATGGCAATATTGTAGTGGCAGACTGTTATAACCACAGGGTGCAAGTCTTTGATAGGAATGGTAACTTTCTTAGTAAGTTTGGTGAATATGGAAGTCATGATAATCATCTTCAATACCCTAAAGGTTTATCAATAAACGGTAACGGTGATATTATTGTTGCTCATAGCAAAAACAAATTAATCAAGATATTCTCTTCAGGTGGGGGGTATTTACGTAACTTTGGTGGAGCACGTTCTTTGGTCGAACCTTGTCACTGTATCCAACACGGTCAATATTTTATAGTCTCAGACTGGGGTGATCATTCCATTAAAATGTTTGATCTTGAGGGAAGGTTTATTTCTAAATTTGGAAAACAGGAAAACAAGGATGGAGAGTTCAATAAGCCCTGTTGCTTGTCAGTTAACAAAGATGGATTGCTAATGGTCTGTGATGCGGTAAATCACAGAGTTCAGGTATTTGAACTGAGTGGAAAGTTTGTCACAAAGTTTGGAAGTAAAGGTAGTGAGAGAGGAGAGTTTAATTGTCCACTGTCAACAGCAAATCTTAGTGATGGAAGGATAGTTGTATGTGATTTTAACAACAACCGAATCCAGGTTTTTGAGAAGATATAATATGATCTTACCAGTGGTATAATTATTGTTGAAAAGTTCAAACTGGGTATCCAGAATAAAAAACCGTAATTTTTCGGAAAAAAAGCATCTTGCGAGGTATTTGTCACTGTTGACCTTTTCTAGTTCCCCGGGAGGGAGGGGTGCATTAGATTGCCCTCACATGTACTTTGTCTCTTCTGTGAATGTAACAATATATTATATAAGCCTGGCTGTAATAATAGCTGAAATGACATTCAAATTGTAAATATATTTTGTAACCTTTTTTCAAATGTACTGTAGTCTCATCTAATTGCCGATTGTAGTTTAATAAGGTGGTTCAATTTTCTTGAGTCAAAATTGTTTTTTGTCGTACACCCGTTCATTTTCTTTCCAGTAGTTGCTAGTTGTTAGCAAGTTTATTTTTGGAGGTATTATTCTCGAGCCCTAGCATAAGCACCAATTTTTTTCTCATCAGGATCTTCAGGTCTGTTGGTTACCACATATATTAACCGAACTGTATTACGTTTTGTTGAAAATGCATTAAAGGATCTTCAAATATAAAGAATGTCTTTTTTGCTCAAATTTATCGTTGTCAAAGAGACCGTCATTTGTTGAAGTTAAACGTACCAGTTTACTTCATTCAAGTGTAAATGTATTTAGCACGCGAGTCTAATTGAGGACACTATTTTTACGTCTCTACTCAGAGAATTATGCACCATCATTTCTATGTTCAATGATCGTCCGAGTCACGTGTAGGTCTTCTGAGCAGTTTGCAGGACAAGGCAGCACAGCGAACCCCTTTTATTGACACCTGCTCATGAATACAGACACCTCATTTTTGTCCCTGGGGAAAAAGGCCCTTACATTTTCTCTTGATTCAACCCCGTTAATACGGACACTTTCTATGCCCCCCCTCCCCTCAGTGTCTGTATTAACGGGGTTTGACTCAGTTCCTTTAATTAGTTATTTTAAGACCCTCAATATTGGTCCGGTCCCGTTGCTTACCACTCCTGCAGTCAAACGCTCTGCAGGCTGAGTTAACCTTGTCATTTAATTAAGGTAGATATCGGTTAAATCTACCATAAACGCTTCAGTTTAGTGCATGAACTACAAGCTGTACGCAAGTGTAACCTGCGTGGCAAGCGCATGAAGGGGAGGGGAGAGGAAGGACACGAGGGCAGATAACTGTTCTCTCCTCTCCTCTCCTCTCCTCTTGCATGTCCTTATCTCATCTTACCCTAAATCCTCTGATAAGTCCCCCCTCTCTAATAAGCCCTTTCCCTCTAGTAAGCTCAACCTTTTCAGGGGAAGAAAGTTAATAACCTTCCCCCATCTCTATTAAGCCCACCCTCCCTTCCCCTAATTATTTTTCACTAATAAATGATAGACTGTACTAATCAATCAAGACCGTAAAACTTTGTGTGGGCTGATCCGGGATAGTTTATTTACCAAGTGGTAGTTCGGATTTGACTCTGATCCTTAGCTGCATGACCTTCAAACTTCTTGTTCTTCAGCTTCTCCTCTTTGTATTCTAGTTTTTTATGGAGAACTGATAAGATAGGGACAAGAGGAGGGGGAGAGGAGAGGATTATAGAGGGGATTAAGGAGACTCCTGCAATAAGGAACCCTATTTTGCTAAACACGACCGTTGGACCGTTTATTACTGTTACCCTAGAGAAGCGTACGCCTTGTAGAAAGTAGTGGGAGGGGACAACTTCAGTTGTCCATTTTAATGAGCTGTTAGTTTGCTTTCACAATCACACACAGTCAGACAGCTATGTGTCACCTGATAAAGTAGCTCCCCGTGCGGAATCAAATTCTGAGCTGTGTTAAAAAAAAAAAACTGGATTCAAACCATTACTGAGCTTTGCCATTAGGCTTCTTCTCTTCTTTCATTCAATTACTGTTGCATTTTCCGTAGGTTTTATTCAAGAACTCAAATGCATCTAACAGTGAGTGGCTTTTTCTATACATGAAAAGTTAAGTAAAGAAAAGAAACTTACCTCAATGTGAACCTTTGTGGAACAACTTTGTTCGAAGAGATCGCCAAATTTTGTTTACAGTATTACGTATGTGTTAGTACACAGGCAACGGAAACGAAAACAAAGTTTGGAGCGCACTGGCTTTTTTGAGTGCGTTAATGCTGACCAGAAAACTGTCGGCAGCAGCTAAGAGCAACGTTTCATCAGACATCGAGGAGTTATTGGGTTGACCTTGTCTACTCTTCCTTCTCATGTTTACTCTTTGTGAGTTTGGACCTGTTTGGATCTTAGAGCTACCCAATTTAGAGGTTAAGCCGGCAGTTTTTTTACCGTATTTTCCAGCCTACGAAATGACAGTAAATTTTGACTCCAATTTAGACAAACGCCACTTAGCTACACAGGAAAATAGACAAGTAGTTACAGCCTATTTCAAATCAAACACTTCGAAAGGTAAAGACACTATGCGACCATTTTTTTTTGTTGAAGATACTGCAGGAGATGTGAAAGACGATGACGATGACAATGATGATGGCGAGGATGATGAGAATAGAAGTAATGATGATAATACTGATGACTTTGACGAGGAAAATGACTCTAAATCAGAGGTTAACCACAAGAAGAAAGTAAATGATGAGCCACAGAAATAAAAGCGTTGGACACTGCTGAGGAAGGATCGCCTAAGAAGAAGGTCTGCTCTGAATTCATTTACATTCCTACAAATTCAAGTCTGACCTGGCAAAAAGTTGAATGAAAATGGTCCCATGTATTTGACAAGCTGACCGAATTGGAACATTTGAAATCCTTTTGCTATTTTTTGGATATTTTTTTACAGCGCGCTTGAAACACATGGACGTCATGGACTGAAAATTTACCTCTCGAAAGACCTTGAAGATCACGCGAAACTCAAAAGATTTGTTATTGCGTATCCTTTGAAATACCTTTTTGTATAATTTAATATAAATTGAGCTGGGAAAACGTGTATCGCTTTAGACGACAGCGTACGGAACCACACGTTTCTGTGTTTCCTACCAAAATAGGATTCACAATGTTTTGAATCCGCACTCAGCTTGAATTCAGACGATTTATTCCAAACTGGAATCGGCCTCGCATTGTGAATCAGTGTTTCTTTAGGGACGTGTTTGAAGAGAAGAATTCGCGCTTGAAACTTGGCCAGCGGAATGCAAAATGTACTATGTTTCTGTACCAAACCATGGTACAGCTACCACGGTAAATTCGTCTTCGGTTTGCCGTTTCTAATGATGACCAGTTTTCATCCACTATTTACCTTGAATGTGAATTCAGAACTGCAAAGAAACGCAGCATAACCACCGCTTTTGCAATTTTTCCCGCGCTTTTTATCTGCTGCGCTATACTATCATAAGCTTTGATCTATAAAACAGGACAATTTTTTAACCATTCTTAACATGACTGGATAGTTATGACAGAGATTTTTCGAAGGAGTTGAAATGACCAGTGCAACACATATTGTAAGCAACAATAGGGTTAGAGGATGAAAAATGATTTGCGCACTTTTACTTTTTGTGTTAAAATACAAGGCTGCGAAAAGCCGGGTTCTTATTTACAAATTTTTGTAGGCCTTTATTGGACCAGACTAGAAACGAGAAGACAAATTGCAAAAAAAAAAAAAAAAAGAAATGAGACTAAAAAGAAAGAAAGAAAGAAAAACGGAAAAACAAAAAAAATTACAAAGAAGGTAGAGGGAAGAAACCCAAAATACAAGCGTGTTTAAACTCACAAGAAATTAGAAAAGTTAATAAAGTAAAAAAACAAAACAAAACAAACAAAAACAAGTAAAAGAAAGTTATACGTTAAGCAATGAAAGCACGCTGATCAAAACGTGCACGACCAGTCTGTTTTAGTCTCCGTTGCAGCCGGCTCTGCTGCACGCACTTGATAAAAACAAATAAGAATAAAACATCTTAATTCTTGACTCGTACCATAATAGTACTAATTTAAATTTGTAAAAAAGATTATTCGAAAGAGAGCACTTCACCGAGGTGTCCGTAAAAAATGACAACTACGGACAATTCAGATGCTGATTGTTGCACTTTAGTTTCGCTAAAAACAAATTCTACTTTACCTATCCCCTCGCTCATGCTCAACAGGTTAATCAGTTTTTCACTTTTAGTGAAACTAAACCGAAGAATACATTCAGTGTCACGGTTTTCTTTGGTGCTGTTCCTGAAGGATTGAATCGAATGTTTCACTGAATCCCTGGATTTCAGTACTAAACTTCGTTTCAACAGAGTTTCAGTTTTTCTACGTCAGGGGCACCCAACGAATCTGTTCCTCACTTTATCTGTTCCCCATAGGAATCTTGCTGGCTGGCAAAATATTAGGTGTTCTAATGAGCTGGCTGGGAAATTTCTTATTGTTAGAGGCTTTGGCTGGGAATTACTGACTTTTCTAGCATTTCAAGCCGGGCTGGCTGAGAAACTCTGAAGACCGAGGACGACTGAAAAAAAGTATCCCTCCCCTCCCCCGAGAGTAGTGACAAACATTTGACGGCTGGCCAGAGAGATCGCGTTCGCGGAAAAAACCGGTTTTGTGTCGGTTATTTTTGCGAGGGATTTCAAAGCGCTCGGACGTCTGCACATGTACAGATCGAAGAACTTTCCTCATTTACATGTAAGATTAATTCCCATTGTTATTTTATCTGTATGCTTAAGTTCTCGTGATGTTCTTCTACACTGAATTGAGACGAATCGAGTGAATCTAACAGCAGTAATTTGTATTTTCATTCACAGATTTAAGTTTCGGCGCCCTGTAGTGTGTGTTCAGCGTTTTACAGTTGAAGCGAACTGAGCCAACAAATTTTAAAAAACTGACAGCAGTATTTTTGTTTACAGTTAGGCCGTGTAGGCAGCCACCGGATCGAGTAGGTGTTTCCTCACACACAAGGTAAGAATCAAGAAAAATTCGTACTTATTTTAATGCAAGTTATTTCGCTAAAAAAACGGTTTGTTTCTCTCGACAACTCCAGCAAAGCCTCTGTTTTTGTGTTAACATAGAAACCAGCCTTTGTATATGTAGCCAGAAGGCAGATAACAAACATACACTGACAAATAATAAGAGCTGTGTCACGCTTTTAGCTTGCTTTTCATAAGCTAAAATTCTCAGCCAAAAATAAGGAAACCCCAATTAACGACTTCAGTTTGAAAAAATGGACATTGTCAACTTGCACGTGAGGAACCCACTTGCACGTGAGGATGGGAAAAGACGGCTTGGATGCAAATGGATTAAAATATGAATTACTATGGTGTTAACTATAGTTTTTCTTTTCTCTGACTAAGCAAATTTTGTTGGTTCTGGCCAGACTGTGGTTTTATTTGTCAGAATGCATCTGATGCTCAGCTGTTTTGTATTGGATTGAGTACTTAATTAAGACATTAATACTATTGTTCATACAATGTATGTGTCAGTAATAACTACTGATCAATCAACACATACATTGACAGTTAAAATTAATTGTTATTGTGACCAATTCAACAGCACTAATTCTTTTTTACTTGGCAGATTGTTTACTTCTCCTCTTCAACAATCTTTAGTCATACTCTGTCTCTGTACAAAACAAAGCTAAGTTAGGATTGTGACAATGAGCATTCACTGTTTGTTCATTCTTACGACCCTCTCTCTTCCATTGGATTGAGTTATTCTTGTGACAATGGGGATTCAATGTTTGTTCATTCTTACGACCCTCTTTCTTCGGAGTATTTTCGTGTTACAGAAATGTCACAGATCTATTGTTCGTTCTTTATTGTTCTTTGTTCATGTGGCTTATTGTATTCTATTGTTATCTATTGTTTTAGGAACTTTGTGAACCGGTACACCAGGAAACTGCCCTTTCTTCCATCAAATTGGGTTAGGCTTGTGATGATGGGCATTCACTGTTTGTTCATTCTTACGACCCTCTCTCTTCCATCAGGTTGAGTTAGGCTTGTGACGATGGGCATTCACTGTTTGTTCATTCTTACGACCCTTTCTCTTCCATCAGGTTGGGTTAGGCTTGTGACGATGGGCATTCACTGTTTGTTCATTCTTACGACCCTCTCTCTTCCATCAAGTTGAGTTAGGCTTGTGACGATGGGCATTCACTGTTTGTCCATTCTTACGACCCTTTCTCTTCCATCAGGTTGAGTTAGGCTTGTGACGATGGGCATTCACTGTTTGTTCATTCTTACGACCCTCTCTCTTCCATCAGGTTGAGTTAGGCTTGTGACGATGGGCATTCACTGTTTGTTCATTCTTACGACCCTCTCTCTTCCATCAGGTTGAGTTAGGCTTGTGACGATGGGCATTCACTGTTTGTCCATTCTTACGACCCTTTCTCTTCCATCAGGTTGAGTTAGGCTTGTGACGATGGGCATTCACTGTTTGTTCATTCTTACGACCCTCTCTCTTCCATCAGGTTGAGTTAGGCTTGTGACGATGGGCATTCACTGTTTGTTCATTCTTACGACCCTCTCTCTTCCATCAGGTTGAGTTAGGCTTGTGACGATGGGCATTCACTGTTTGTTCATTCTTACGACCCTCTCTCTTCCATCAGGTTGGGTTTGGCTTGTGACGATGGGCATTCACTGTTTGTTCATTCTTACGACCCTCTCTCTTTCATCGGGTTGAGTTAGGCTTGTGACGATGGGCATTCACTGTTTGTTCATTCTTACGACCCTCTCTCTTCCATTCGGTTGAGTTAGGCTTGTGACGATGGGCATTCACTGTTTGTTCATTCTTACGACCCTCTCTCTTCCATTCGGTTGAGTTAGGCTTGTGATGATGGGCATTCACTGTTTGTTCGTTCTTACGACCCTCTCTCTTCCATCAGGTTGGGTTAGGCTTGTGACGATGGGCATTCACTGTTTGTTCATTCTTACGACCCTCTCTCTTCCATCAGGTTGGGTTAGGCTTGTGATGATGGGCATTCACTGTTTGTTCATTCTTACGACCCTTTCTCTTCCATCGGGTTGGGTTAGGCTTGTGATGATGGGCATTCACTGTTTGTTCATTCTTACGACCCTCTCTCTTCCATCAGGTTGATTTAGGCTTGTGACGATGGGCATTCACTGTTTGTTCATTCTTACGACCCTTTCTCTTCCATCAGGTTGGGTTAGGCTTGTGATGATGGGCATTCACTGTTTGTTCATTCTTATGACCCTCTCTCTTCCATCGGGTTGATTAAGGCTTGTGACGATGGGCATTCATTGTTTGTTCATTCTTACGACCCTCTCTCTTCCACCTCGTTGGGTTAGGCTTGTGACTTTGGGTATTCTTTTTTTGTTCATTCTTATATGACCCTCTCTCTTCCATCTGGTTGAGTTAGGGATTTCATGGTTTGCGCTGAGAACTTTGCTTCCTTTGTGGCCCTCTATTCAGTTGTCTATTAAGTTTCCCTTTTCCTTTAATGTGAATGGACGCACATCCATGTCATTGGGAGGAAGATGCTTAACAGTTTGTCCAATCATGGTAACATTTTAAATTTTGATAAAATAAAAAAAATATTTGTAGCATGGAGAAATTCATTCATTTGGACCAGTTCAACTGCTAGACCTAATTATGGCCTGCAGAAATTTTACTGATCTTGTTATCCATCCATTTCAGTATTCTGGTATTGTGTGGAGGAAATTTATAAATAATGACTGTCATATTAGGCGAATCAAGGAATTTTTTTTATTTTTCAGTTGATGTGGAAAGATATACAATATAGCTAAATTGGTTGACTGCAGCACCATGATAACAAATAGATTGCTACCTCAACCTTTTTTTTGTTGTTGTTTGGCGCAGACATTCATGATAAATAAATATGTTTCAACTTAAGCGTAAGGTTTCTACACTTAAAAATTTAAAGGGGTGGAGTCTACTTTTTACAAATACCACCAATCACAGGACGCCCACATAAAGTGGGTAACCCTTGGTATTATTGAATTTAGAAGAAATGTATGAGAATTGCAAAAAGTTCCATAAGATTATACTATTCTGCAATGAATATTTACATTTCAAATGAGAATAAACTAACCTTCAATTTCAAGGACTTGCATTGCTCAGGAAAAAATCGCTAAAATTTGCCATTTCCAGCCATCAACAACAACAGCACTTCATTTCAGATAAAGGTTGGTTTATCCTCATCTTATATGAAAATATAATATTGATCACAGAATTGTACAGTAATAATTATGGAACTTCTTGCTATTCTCATACATTGCTTCTGAATTCAATAATACCAAGGGTCACGCACTTTGTGTGTGGCCCCTGTGATAACAATAGCTTTGATTAGTAAGGCTATAACTAGATCTGAAAACATCACACTCAATCAGTATTGCTGCTGGCTGTAGTCAATTAACTTTTGTCTCTTATTTTTTCCTTTTTAATATTATTTTTCAGGCTGTGGAAATAGCAAGGAACTGGGGATTACCTTGGTTTATCCTAGCAAGTATGTTAAACAATTGCCATGTGTACAATGCTGCTAGGTGTTATGAATTCTGCGCTCACTTTCCAGGCTCACAAAAGTCTCCTAAAATTTAGACTGCTCCAGACAGCAGTACATTTAGAGTATCATATACTAACACAAGAATTACAGCTGTTTGTCAAAAAAAAAAAACAGAATGACACGCAAATAGCAGGCTATTGCAACAACACTTTGCGAAGAACTGCAAGCAAGCAACTGCTTCACGAGGTGCCCCTGCTAGAGGCATCGGGCCACCGCCCGTATAGCAGGAAAAACTGCAAACCAGCATTGTTTCGAGGTTAACTTTGCCTAAATTACATTTAGCCACATTAATATAAGTATTGTTATTGTTATCATCATTATTATTCCTTTCATTTATATTAATTAATTTAATTCCTGGCTGGGAAATAAATTTGATCAGCTGGCTGGGAAACCAACCAATTTTATCTAGCTGGCTGGGAAATTTCTTGTGTGTCTTGCTGGGAAAAAGGAACAGATAATATTTTCCCAGCAACACTGAAAAACACGTGAAGATGCCTTAATAACATTTATTTTCATTAATGGGGGTATAATAATACATTTTACAACAAATTGGTCGTTGGGTGCCCCTGCTACGTCGTCTTTTTTCTGTGAGAGAGACTCTAGTGATTTTGTCGCTTGATTACCGACTGCATCAAAAACATCTTGTTTTCTCGCTTCGATGATCACAATAATTTTGTCTACACAAGATTACACTTGGCATTTTACCTCGGTCTTTGGATTGAAATTGCTTTGCTTTTTTTGTTAAATTGTTCGACTTCCTTTTGTTTTTCCAGTACTTTGCATTGTCTTCCAAGATTTTATCACGGAGCTGATCTTTTTTCTTTGCGTGCGTCGGTCGCTTCTTGCAAAGGCATTTTAACATGACCTTCAAGGTACCTGCACGCTGAATTATACTCTATAAGCTAGCACACCTTGGTCTTAAGCAAAAAAAGGTCCCTGTTATACTTCACTGCACCCTTAACCACTCTGTGGTTGGACGTCTCAGCTTGCATGGCCCAAAGGCCCACAGAAACTAAAGATTTAATAGTAAAAATTTTCTGCAACTGCCATTTTTTCTGGAGCATTTTGTTGGACAGTATATATCAGGGATGACTTGGCCGAAGGTTGCTTAGTTAATGTAGTTGCTGGAAACACGCAGATTAACGACCACATTCTTGGACAAAATAGACGGAAAATTAATCCGTTCTCTCTCCTGTTAAATAAAGGATGAGGAAATGACGCGTTTTGGCGGGATTTAGGGATAAAGCTCCTTCATTCGTACTTTCGACTTTCTTGACCATCTCGCGCGGAACATATGCTTGCCGGCAATTTATCCATGCTTCAAAGAGCTGATAAACAATTCTCGGAAATACATTTGATGATTTTTATTCTTCAGTCAAACCACCAAAACATGTCAAGAAACTCTATTTGATTGGTTAATAATACAGTGTTTAGTCTGGGTCACAAAACAAGACTTCATTGTTCATTTGCAAAGCCATTCTCTTGAAGTTTCTTGATCGCCAACAACTAGAGGCCAAAATTTTAAAAAAGTACCCCTTGCTTCCGACCTTTTCCATGGACATAAAGACCTTGCTCGACAATCTTCATGATGAAGTATCCTGTTCCGTGTGTATGTGTACATTCACTGATCCAAAGCAGTTGCCTTGTTTGCACAATTTCTGTCTTCACTGCCTGAACGAAATTCAACGAACAAGCGGCGTCCATGGCAAAATTACATGCCCCGAGTGCAGAAGACAGTTTCAGATTTCTGGAAGTGGAAATCCCAGCGAACTTCCCACCAATTTTCGAATAAACAGGCTGCTAGATGTCTTGGCAATAAAAGAGTGTAGTACAGCTAACGTGAAGTGTGGAAACTGCGATAAAAGGAGTTCTCAGACTTCCTATTGCTTCCAGTGTTGTTCTTTCTGGTGCGAGAAATGCATTTTAGGACATGACATAATGCGCGCTAACAATAAACACAGAACGCTAGCACTGAAAGATTTTCAAGATCAAGACATCAAGGCTGTATTAGAGCGACCAGGATTTTGTCAGAAGAAACACCATGAAAAAGAAGAGCTGAAATTCTTTTGCAAAGGCTGTAAAGTCGCCATTTGTAGCTCTTGTGCTGTAACACTTCATGAAGGTCATGGTAAGATGCCTTTGCAAGAAGCTTCTGATGAGCGCAAAACACAGATTAGCTCCATGATAAAATCTTTTAAAGACAAAGTACTGGAAAACAAAAGGAAGTCGAACAATTCAACCAAAAAAGCATCGCATTTCAATCGAAAGTAGCTGAGGTAAAAAGCCAAGTGCAGTCTTGTGTAGACCAAATTATTGCAATCATCGAAGCGAGAAAACAAGATGTTTTTAATGTGATTGATAATCAAGCGACAAAATCACTGGAATCTGTCTTACAGAAAAAAGGCGAAGTGGAAAAACAAGTGAAATTAATTGAATCAGCGATTGAACAAACTGAAACTCTGTTAAAACGAGGTTTTAGTTCTGAAATCAAGGGATTCACTGAAACATTTGATTCAATCCTGCAGGAACAGAGCACCAAAGAAAACTGTATTCCTTGGTTTAGTTTCACTAAAAGTGAAAAACTGATTAACCTGTTGAGCATGAGCGAGGGATAGGTAAAGTAGAGTTTGTTTTTAGCGAAACTAAAGTGCAACAATCAGGATCAGTAACTAAAGGTAAAGAAAGTAATAAAGTAGTTGCTGGGGATAAAGGGGCAAATTTTTGTGAAAGTCCTTTTAAGGCTCAGGTAAAAACCAGGCGCTTCAGATCTGTGCTGTCATTTGGACAAAAAGGTGAGTCTGTTGGAATGCTTAACGTTCCCTATGGGGTGGCAGTGAATGATCAGGATGAAATTGCTGTGACTGAGCTCGGTAATAACAGGGTTTCAGTGTTTAGTAGTGACGGTACCCACTTAAGATCCTTTGGTAGGAAGGGTAAGAATAATGGTGAGTTCTATTGCCCTACAGGGATCGCTTTTGATAGTCATGGCAATATTGTAGTGGCAGACTGTTATAACCACAGGGTGCAAGTCTTTGATCGGAATGGTAACTTTCTTAGTATGTTTGGTAAACAAGGAAGTCGTGATAATCAGCTTGAATTCCCTCGAGGTTTATCAATGAACGGCAACGGTGATATTATTGTTGCTGATAAAGGTAACAAATTAATCAAGATATTCTCTTCTAGTGGGGAGTATTCACGTAAATTTGGTGGAGCATGTTCTTTGCTCACTCCCTATCACTGTATTCAACACGGTCAATATTTTATAGTCTCAGATCGTGGTGATCATTCCATTAAAATGTTTAATCTGGAGGGAAAGTTTATTACTAAATTTGGAAAACAGGGAATCAAAGATCGAGAATTCAATGAGCCCCGTTGCTTGTCAGTTACCAAAGAAGGATTGCTTATGGTCTGTGATGAAGAGAATCACAGAGTTCAGGTACTTGATCTGAATGGAAGGTTTGTTACAAACTTTGGAAGTGAAGGTAGTGAGAGAGGAGAGTTTAAGTGGCCAGTGTCGACAGCAACTCTTAGTGATGGAAGGATAGTTGTGTGTGATAAGGAGAACAACCGAATCCAGGTTTTTGACCAGTTATAATATGATCTTGCCAGTGGTATTATTGTTGAAACGTTCAAATTGCCTTCTTTATCTAGAAACAGAAACCGTAACTTTTCGAACAATATCCTGAATTCGTGAGGTATTTGTCACTGTTGCCAGGTGTGTGTGTGTGTGTGTGGGGGGGGTTTGGGGGGGCATTAGGTTGTCCTCACGCGTAGTTTGTCTTTTCTGTGAATGTAACAATAAATTATAAAATCGTGGCTGTAATAATAACTGTAATAATAGCTGAAGTGACATTCAAATTGTAAATATATTTTGTAATCCTTTTTCAAATATATCGTATAGTCTCATTTAATTGCCGATCAGGGGTAGTTTAATAAGGTTGTTCAATTTGTTGGTATCAAAATTGTTTTGTATGTTGTACACCCTTTCATTTTCTTTCCAGCAGTTGCTAGTTGTTAGCTAGTGTATTTTTGGAAGTATTATTCCCGAGCCCTTAGCTCAAGTGCCATTTTTTTTTCTCATCAGGATCTTCAGGTCTGTTAAATTATAACATATATATTTACAGAATTGTATAACGTTTTGTTGAAAATGCATTAAAGGATAATCAAATATGAAGAATGTTTTTCTTTCTTCAAATTTATCGTTGTCAATGAGACCGTCATGTGTTGACGTTAAACGTACCAGTTTACTTCATTTAACTGTAAAAAAATGTATTCAGCACGCTTGTACTAATTGAGGACACTATTTTTACGTCTCTTCTCGGAGAATGGACCATCATTATGTTCAGTGATCATCCGAGCCGCGTATAGGTCTACTGACCAGTTTGTAGGACGAGGCAACAGGACAATCAAATCCCTTTTTAATTAAAAAAACCGAAAAATCATCTTTTGCCGATTTTTTCACCTGATTTTACATTAAATGGCCAGATTTGGTTGTTTTATGATGAAAAGTGGATTTTTGTCAAATCGCTTGGCACTTTTGCTTGAGGACAAACTCGTAGTACTTTTGGTTGAAGACACCTCATTTTTTGTCCCTGGCAAAAAAAAGCCCTTACACAGTTTTCTCTTAATTCAAACCCCTTAATAAGGACACTTTCGTCTCATTCCAATCTTTTTTCAAGAAGACTATCGGCAGCCGCTGTTTAGACCTACAAAAGCAAATTTACCGTTTGCTTTGTACATAGTTTGCATTCGGACCCAAATGATTTCTAGATAAAACAGGGCGTGGCTAGTCACGTGATGCAGTTATAAACAATTTTTTTCAAATGAACTTTGAAGATTTCTTAGTTATGATTAGCCTTAATTTATTAGACCTGGGATACCGTAAAATTCCGAAACTAAGCCCCGGGACTTATATTTTCCAAAGGCCCTTTTTGAAGGGCTTATTTGTGGAAGGGCTCACCTACGGAGGGAAATATGCGTTTCAAAATCGATTGGACTAGCCTTATAGTTGGAAGTAAATTTACCATTTTTGCTTTGTTTTACTTGCATTTGAGGGCAATTTTGCTAGTACAAGCCCTCGGGGGGCTTATATTTGGAGGGGCGATTTAACGGAGGGTTTTATGCGTCACCTGATTGGGGGGCTTATATTTGGAGGGGCTCATACATGGAGGGGCTTATTTTCGGAATTTTACGGTATCTTAAAAACAAAAGTTACATTTGACCACCCCCCTTTCAAAATTCTGAGGAATTTGTAAAGAAACAAGCCTTAATCGATTTGAGCCGACAGGTGCTTTGAGATTGATCAAAATTTGCGAAATGATGTACACGTGGACATGTGCTCTATCCTCGCCGATATTGCAAATTATAATCTTAATATCTAGAATTGAAAGCCTAATTGGTCCAGGGATAATAATATGCATGGGTCCATATGGACCCAAAACGACCAAAGCGGACGACAAAGAGTTTTATTAAGCAGTAGACCACACTTTCTATGGGCTTACCGGCGTGATAATCCCCTCGGCTCGTGATTTACAAGCTTTTCGAGTGTTCTCCCAACATCCCGCGTGGGTATCATGCCGGTAAACCCATAGAAAGTGTGGGGAAAGTGTAGGACTCCTCTAAAGTTCCATCATGGCTGAGTGTTCATCGCAGTTTAGTTCCTGACTTCGTTGTTACAGATCCAAAGGAACACACTTTCTATGGGCTTACCGGCGTGATAATCCCCTCGGCTCGTGATTTACAAGCTTTTCGAGTGTTCTCCCAACATCTCGCGTGGGTTATCATGCCGGTAAACCCATAGAAAGTGTGGTCTATTGCTTATATAAAATAACTTTAAGTTTTCTATGAGTTCACCGGCACAATAAACCATAGGGTTTTAACCAATCAGAACGCTCGTACTATCTTAGTTATTCTATAAAGGCAGATATCTGTTAAATCTACTATAAACACTTCAGTTCAGGGGATGTACTACAAGCTGTACGCAAGTGTAACCTACGTAGCAAGTGCATGAAAGGGGAGGGGAGAGAAAGAACATGGGAGCAGAAAAGGTTATCTCCCCTCCCCTCTCCTCTTGTCCTTATCTTATCTGTTTAGCAGCATAGGGTTCCTCATTGCAGGAGTCTCCTTAATCCTCTCTATAATCCCCTCCCCTCCCCTCCCCTCTCCTCTCCTCTCCGCTTGTGCTTATCTTACCTTATCTGTTTAGTACTATAGGATTCCTCATTGCAGGAGTCTCCTTAACTCCCCTCTATAATCCCCTCCCCTCCCCTCTCCTCTCCTCTTGCCCTTAACTTATCTTCAGTCTATTTAGCAATATAGGGTTCCTGATTGCAGGAGTCTTTTTAATCCCCTCCCCTTCTCCCTAGCTGTCCCCTTTTTATGTTCTCCACACAGGTTAACCCTATGGTATCCTTGAGCAATGGTTTCTTCTCAGGCTATCGTTTCACCTTAACTCATCCACGTCTACTCCTCTATCTTTTTTGAAGGTATCCATATAGGTCATATAGATCGAGGGTCTAATCGGTCGTCGCTTACAATACCTGGGCCTTTGTCGTCCAATAGTTAGAAACGAGCTGTAATGAATTTTTAAACTTATTATTTATAAATGATGAGCGATTTTGTGTAGGACTCTTCTAAAGTTCCATCATGGCTGAGTGTTCATCGCAGTTTAGTTCCTGACTTCGTTGTTACAGATCCAAAGGAACAAGCTTAATTACTGGATAATTATCAACTACTATGAGTTTTGTAAACAACGTTTTTTCACTCTAAAATGAGGAATAACCCTTCCGATTGAATAGGTTGTCGTTTGTGGAATAAGAGGTAACAAATTGACTTTGAAATGCACGTAACTACTCGAAGCCTGAAAACACGTACTTCCATCAGAAGAAAAGCTTAAATAGGAACATCAGTTCCCGAACAATGGAACGCCGCTGGCCACAACTAGTCCTAAATAAGAAATTTGCGACTATGTTGGAGAGAAAATTGCCGTCACATATTGATCTTGGTCTTATTTTATTATGATCAGTTCGCGCGAGTTCCATTGTCTTTACTGCGAGTAGCGAGGTCGCTGGCCGCAAAAATTCCCTCGCGAGACGGCTGAGTCATTGGAAAGCCCTCTCGTCCGACGAAAAAGTACATTCTAACTTATATTTTTGTTTCTGTAGAGAGCCAAGGAGAAAACAGGAGGAGAGTTTAGTGCATCAACCATTCACACAAGTGATGGCAACCTTGCAAGCCTCTTGCGATAGCCAATAAAAGCGGTGTTCTCTCCAAAACTGTCCCAGAGTTAAATTCCTTTTTGCACCGTCCCAGGCTCCCTACGCGTGAAGTCCAAATGACCAAATCAGGTCACTGCAGGTGTTTTCTGGGAGCGCGTACTAGAATTCGCTCTGTTTAATAGTGTTACACTCAACTCTTTGAGACGATCGTCGGAGCCGTTTATAACTGTTACGCTACAGAGGCGTCTGCCTTTTAGAGAGTAATGGTAGGAGACCAGTTATGATTTCCAGAGTTTTAATGAGCTGTTAGTTAGCTTTCACAATCACACACAGGCAGCTACACACTTTGCGCGGCTCGCTTGTTCGAACATAATGCGCCTGCGCTTATTGTAGGCCATGTGTCACCTGATAAAGTAGCTCGCCGCTGGTCCCTTGCGCTTCGTCACCAGTCACTCGCGTTTCGCGCTCGCCTCTATAAGAAACCGTGGAAAAAACGAAGTGCCTGGGGAGGAGGCTGAGCTCGCCGTGAACTTCAAATTCCGAGTTGTATTAAACGAACTCTTGCTGAGCCTTGTCATTAGCCTTCCTCTCTTTTTTCATTCAATTAATGTTACTCTTTTTCCGCAAGTTTTAATTAAAAAACTGAAGAGCATCTAACAGTGACTGGCTTTTTCTATACTAAAATGACAAGTTAAGTAAAGAAAAGAAACTTTCGTGCTGGAGAACCTTTTTGAAACAGCTTTTATCAAAGAGATCGCCAAATTTGGTGTATAGTATTACGTATGTGTTAGTACTCATGCAACAGAAACAAAAATAAAGTTTTGAGCAATTCATCAGACATCGAGGAGTTGTTGGGTTACTCTTCCTTCTCAAGTTTCCTCTTTCTCAGTTTGGACCAGTTTGGAACTTAGAGTTACCCAATTTAGAGGTTAAGGAGGCAGTTTTTTTTACCGTATTTTCCAGCCTACGAAATGACATCAAATTTTGACACCATTTTAGACAAACCCCGCTTAGCTGCACAATAAAACACTACAATAAAATTGTAGCTATAGCCTATTTCAAATCAAACACTTCGAAAGATAGACACTATATGCGACAATCATTTTTTGCTAAAGATACTGCAGGAGCTGTAGCCTGTGAACAGGCTTCTGTTCGGGGAAAAAAAAATCGCGAGGAGAGGGAAGGGAAAGGGGGAAAGAGGCTTTTTCGCTTTCTCTTCTCCCCAGTTCCCTGCTCGACTGAAGGCCTGTTCACAGACAACAGGAGATGTGATTTGATTAGATGTGTTTCAACGCCTCTGTGGTTGGAAGTCTATTAAGCTTGGCTCAAAAGGCCCACAGAAGTTTAAGAATCAGTAAACATTTTCTGCAACTACATTTTTTTGTGGAGGATTTTGTGGCGCAGTATTAAGGAGACTTGACCGAAGGTTGATTAATGTATTTGCTGAAAACACTCAGATTAACGAGCACTATCTTGGACAAAATTCGATGGAAAATAAATCCGTCTTTCATCCTGTAAAATAAAAGATGGGGAAATGGCGCGTTTTGTCTTTCGCGTGGCTTTTTTGATTCTGATTTTGGGCCAACCGGGACTTGCTTTCCCAGTTTAATCTGTCCAAGAATTGTACGCGTGTGTAACGTGCTGAGTGTTCTGGTGTTTACAAATACAAAAAATATCCATAGTCCATTCTTTTAAATAAGCCTGCGTAGCAACGTTTTCCGAAACAATTTATACTAGGGAGAGAACGCTCTTTCAAAGAGCTGATTAACAATTCTAGGAAATACAGGATGTTAAAGTGACACCATCAACATGTCAAGAAACTCTATTTGATTGGCTAATAATACAGAGTTTAGTATGGTGTTGTACCCAATTCAAACCCTTTGGGAATAAAACTTTTTGTTTCAGGAATTTCCATACATTCAAATGAGAATGCCACATTATAATGCAAATACAATACACAAAGAATCTTAACCCCGGGAGATTTGAATTGGGTACAACACTGAGTTAGCCGAATAGATCTATTTTTCATTCTCAACAACAACCAGCTAGGCCAAATTTTTTAAAAAGTAACCTTGTTTCCTACCTTTTCCATGGATATAAAGACCTTGCTGGACAATCTTCATGATGAAGTATCCTGTTCTGTGTGTATGTGTACATTTACTGATCCAAAGCAGTTGCCTTGTTTGCACAATTTCTGTCTTAACTGCCTAAACGGAGTTCAACGAACGAGCGGCGTCCGTGGTAAAATTACATCCCCCGAGTGTAGGAGACAGTTTCAGATTTCTGGAAGTGGAACTCCCAGCGAACTTCCCACCAATTTTCGAATTAACAGCCTGCTAGATGTCTTAGCAATAAAAGAGTGCAGTACAGTCAACGTCAAGTGTAGAAACTGCGACAAACGAAGCGCCCAGACTTTATATTGCTTCCAGTGTTGTTCCTTCTGGTGTGAAGAATGTATTGTAGGACATAACATAATGCGGGAAAATAAAGACCACAGAACGCTAGCGCTGAAAGATTTTCAAGATCAAGACATCAAAGCTGTATTAGAGCGACCAACATTTTGTCAGAAGAAACACCATGAAAACAAAGAGCTGGAGCTCTTTTGCAGGAACTGTAAAGTCGCCATTTGTAGCGCTTGTGCCATGACACTTCATGAAGGTCATGGTAAGATGCTTTTGCAAGAAGCTACAGATGCCCGCGAGACACAGATCAACTCCACTATTAAATCTTTGAAAGATAAAGCACTGGAAAAACGAAAGGAAGTCGAAAAAATCAACCAAAAGAGCGCTGAATTTCAATCGCAAGTAGCCGAAGTAAAAAGCCAAGTGCATTCTTGTGTAGACCAAATTATTGCAATCATCGAAGCGAGGAAACAAGATGTTTTTGAGAAGATTGATGATCAAACTAAAAAATCACTCGGATCTCTTTCAGAGAAAAAAAGCGAAGTTGAAAAACAAGTGAAATTAATTGAATCAGCAATTGAACAAACTGAAACTCTGTTGAAACGAAGCTTTAGTACTGAAATCCTTGGATTCAGTGAAACATTTGATACAATCCTACAGGAACAGAGCACCCAAGGAAACTGTGACACTGAATATATTCCTCGCTTTAGTTTCACTAAAAGTGAAAAACTGATTAACCAGTTGAGCATGAGTGAGGGGATAGGTAATGTAGAATTTGTTTTTAGCGAATTTAAAGCAAAACAATCAGGTACTAAAGGTAAAGAAAGTAGTAAAGTAATTTCGGGGAATAAAGGGGCAAATGTTCATGACACTAGTCCTCTTGAGACTCAGGTTCAAACCAGGCGCTTCAGATCTGTGCTGTCATTTGGACAAAAAGGTAAGTCTGTTGGAATGCTTAAGGGGCCCTGGGGTGTGGCAGTGAATGATCAGGGTGAAATTGCTGTGACTGAATACTGGAACCACAGGGTTTCATTGTTTAGTAGTGACGGTACCCACTTAAGATCGTTTGGTAGATTCGGTAAGAATAATGGTGAGTTTAAGTACCCTTCAGGGATCGCTTTTGATAGTCTTGGTAATATTGTAGTGGCAGACTATGTTAACCACAGAGTGCAAGTATTTGATAGCAATGGTAACTTTCTTAGTAAGTTTAGTAAACAAGGAAGTCGTGATAAATATCAGCTTAAATACCCTGAAGGTTTATCAATAAACGGTAATGGTGATCTTATTGTTACTAGTCAGGGTAACAAATTAATCAAGATATTCTCTTCTAGTGGGGAGTATTTACGTAAATTTGGTGGAGCAGGTTCTTTGGTCAGTCCCCATCACTGTATTCAACATGGCCAATATTTTATGGTCTCAGATTATGGTGATCATTCCATTAAAATTTTTAATATTGAGGGAAAGTTTATTTCTAAATTTGGAAAACAGGGAAACAAGCATGGAGAGTTCAATAAGCCCCGTTGCTTGTCAGTTAACAAAGAAGGATTGTTAATGGTCTGTGATGGAAGTAATCACAGAGTTCACGTATTTGAAGTGAGTGGAAAGTTTGTTACAAAGTTTGGAAGTGAGGGTATTGAGGGAGGAGAGTCTAAGTTTCCAGTGTCTACGGCAAATCTTAGTGATGGAAGGATAGTTGTGTGTGATAAGAACAATGACCGAATCCAGGTTTTTGACAAGATATAATATGATCTTACCAGTGGTATTATTGGGGAAAGGCCAAATTGCTTATCTAGAATAAGAAAATGCAATGTGTAGTTACAGGAAATATCCATAACCACCCCCCCCCCCCTCCCCCCACACACACACACATACGGAAATTCCGAGGGGAGGGGGAGTTCAAAAGAAGGCAATTCCCGAGGGGTTGGGGGGTTGCTTACAGAGGTTTTTTCCAGGGGGTCTGAGTAAGGTTGGTTGGTGAGTTGTTTACAGGTTAACCACTCAGCGACTGAATTATCGGGATTTACCTGCACGAGATCCCCAACAATGAACGAGAAATTTCAATACCGTACGAGTTCATTGTTAGTGAATGAGTAACAGGTAAATCCCGATAATTATTTTACGAGCAATGAGTGCGTTAACATTTATATAATTTATATTATGAGTTTAAGTGTCCAGTGTCTGCAGCAAATCTTAGTGATAGAAGGATAGTTGTGTGTGATATGAACAACAACCGAATTCAGGTTTTTGACAAGATATAATATGATCTTATCAGCGGTATTTAATGGCAGATCCAGACCCTCAGATAGGGGGGGGGGCAGTCATCCAGACCCTCACATAAGGGGGAGCCCGGTCTCCAAAAAAATTTTATTCGTCCTTCAGGCCTCATTTTGGTCGAAAAATAAGAGGGGGGCTTCCCCTGGATCTGCCACTGGTATTATTGTTGTATGGTTCAAATTGCTCAAATCTAGAATAAGAAACTGTGATTTTTCGAACAACACCATCTCATGAGGTATTTGTCACTGTTGACCTTTCTTAGTTGTGGGTGGGGCGCATTTGGTTGTTCTCACGCGTAGTTTGTATTTTCTGTGAATGTTACAATACATTATACAATCGTGGCTGCAATAGTAGCTGTAATAATAGCTGTAATAATGGCTGAAATGACGTTCAACTTCTAAATATATTTTGTTATCCTTTTTTCATATGTACTGTAGTCTCATTTAATTTCCGATTATAGTTTATTAAGGAGTTTAAATTGTTTGGTATCAAAATTGTTTTTTATGTTGTACACCTTTTCATTTAATTTCTTTCCAGCAGTTGCTAGTTGTTAGCCAGTGTATTTTTGGAAATATTATTCCCGAGCCCTTAGCTCAAGTACGGTTTTTTTCTAAACAGGTCCGTTAATTATAACATACATTAACCGAATTGTATAACGATTTGTTGAAAACGCACTAAAGGATAATCAAAAATAAAGAATGCTTTTTTGTTCAAATTTTATCGTTGTCAATGAGACCGTCATGTGTTGAAGAATGGACCAGTGTGTCCAGTGTCCAGTGATCATCTGAGTCACGTGTAGGTCAACTGAGCAGTTTGCAGGACAAGGCAACAGCACATTGGAACCCCCCTTTAAGGACACCCGCTTAATACAGACACCTCATTTTTGCCCCTGGGGAAAAAAGCCCTTACATTTTCTCTTGATTCAACCCCCTTAATTCGGACACTTTCTATGCCCCCCCTCAGTGTCTGTAGTAACGGGGTTTGACTCAGTTCATTTAGTTAGTTATTTTAAGACCCTCAGTATTGGTCCGGTCCCGTGACTTTCCGCTCCTGCAGTCAAACGCTCTACAGGCTGAGTTAATCGTTTCGTTGAGGTAGATATCTGTTACATCTACCATAAACGCTTCAGTTTAGTGCATGAACAACAAGCTGTATGCAAGTGTAGCCTGCGTAGCAAGCGCATGAAGGGGAGGGGAGAGGAAGGACATGGGAGCAGATAAGGTTATCTCCATTCCTCCCCTCTTGTCTCCTCCCCTCTCCTCTCCACTTCTCTGGTCCTTATTTTATGTTATCTTATCTATTTAGCAATATACGGCCCCTTTATTGCAGAACTCTCCTTAATCCCCTCCCCTCTCCCTACTCGCCCTTTTTTTCTGTTTTCCACACAGGTAAACCCTATCGTATCCTTGAGCAATGATAATTTCTCTCCTTAACTCTTCCACATCAAGTCTTCTCTGAGGGCCCCAGGGAAGGGACTCCCATATAAAAGTGAAGGGGATGCTCGCCGTCTCGCTTTCGGGTGTAAATTGCAGATGTTGATCTCACTTTTCTGTTTGGGTTGTAAAGTTACTATATTTGGAATGCCCATTTAGGTATGGCTTAGTTACTGTGCATTAAGAAACTAAAAAAAAAATGCACAGACACTGGCCACACAGAAATCACCCTTAGGGGTCAGTTGAAGCTTGAGCCACACCCACATATAATATATAGATTTAGCCAGGGCTAAAAGCGAAGCTCTCGATAATATTTATAGTTTGTTCAAACAAAATATAAAATCGTGTAATGCTAAGCGGCGAAGACAACGCCGGAGAACGGAGAAAAAACAACAATAGGTCTAATTAGCAAAAAAGCAACTTTGCACGTGCAGCACACTTTTTTTGTACATTTCTTTGCCGTTGTTTTGCACGACCACAACGTGAAACGTCCAGAAACTTTTTTATGGAGGAAGTGTCGTACGTGTTCTCGTTCACTTTTTTTTTCACTGCCGCTCATTTTCTCCTTGCATTGGTGGCCGCTAGCATTTCTCATTTTGTCACCGCCGCTACAAAATTTTCATGTTCTTCTTCAAACAAAAAATGTCTGCTTTGTTTTTTTATCTCTCGCTCTAGATCTCTGTTGCCCTTTTTCTCGTTGAGTTTCGCTGGCCTGCCTCTTTTTCTCTGTCTTTCTCTGGCCCTATATTCCAAATGTGTGGACATGACAATAATCTGAGCTTAATACTTTAGAAAACACGAATACAGAAACAATTTACGCTTTTCGGTTTTGTCTTTATTGACTCTTTAGTTGCCTCTGCTTTACAGACGCGGGTGGCTATGCGATTTCCCTCCTAAATAACCTCGAGTTGCATTTGGGTTACCATACCTGTTGATTGAGTTATTTCACATTGGTATGCCTGTGGTGCGGACGGACGGTCGGGCGTACGGTCACGTGATTACCAAATTTTCTTGGATGGGTAGTTTACCACATTTTCTTACCCATGGTGCTCCGCAGGCGCGCTTCGCGCGCCAGAGCTCCGCTATAAAAGGTTTACCAGTAATTTGAATTTTCCAACGAGCATCCCCGTCACTTTAATATGGGCGTTCCCGCCTCGGGGTTTCAAGTATCCAAATACTGGTCTTGGAGATCCAATCGGTTGTCGTTTACCACGGGCTTTTGGCGTCCAATAGGTTGGTAATCAAAACAGACGAGATGTAATGAACCTAAAGAATAATGTGTGATTTTGTGTAGGACCCCTCCAAGGTTCCATCGTGGCTGCATGTGTGTTCATCGCAGTTTAGTTCCTGACCAGGGGGGACTCCGTATATGAAAGGGGTGGGGATGCTCGTCGTCTCCTTAGGGGTGTAAATTTCGGATTTTGCTGTCGCTCAGGGTGTTCTTGGCAAAACACTATTGTATTTAGCCGTAAAGGTCTCTTTTAGGGTTGCACTCGAAGAAATATTAAAAAATTATATATTTTCGATTCGTTTTATGTACTCGATTCATGTAATCAAAGTTTAACATAATCGCTTTTAGGGGTCAAAAAAGGTTAGGCCACGCCCAGATTGGTCTCCTTTAGGGGTTTAATTCAAAATTTCCGACGAGCATCCCCACCCCTTTCATATGCGGAGTCCCCTCCCCGGGGTTCCTGACTTCGTTATCGCAGATCCAAAGGTACAAGCTTAATTACTGGATAATAATCAACTACTATGCGTTTTACAAAGAAATTAAAGTTTTTCACTCTAAAATGAGGAATAACACTTTCGGGTTTACATAGGGTGTTAGTATGAAATTATTCCCTAATTTCACGAGTATGCCATTTGATTACCTATTAATATCATGGGTGACGAATTACGTTAGCAATCTTGGATTTTTGACATGTTTATCCTGGATCGTATCGATCGAGAACTCCACTCTCTCAAATGTTTAGACCTTAAATTTGGCTTATAAAGTTCAGAATTTTTCAGACTTTTTCGGAAAAATACCTGTTAGAATCCTTCTTGATGTTCTCCTTTGTGTTCAGGTTTTCTAAAGCGTATTTTTATGCCCTGACATCTTCGTTCACGGCATTTTAAAACTTCGTCGCCATCTTGACACTGAGACGTACGGAAGGGTTGCCATGGCAATTTTGTAATTTCACATGTGAAATTACAAATTAACGCTGAAATTTCGCGCCAAAATTAAGGAGTAATTCGTCACCTATGATATTATAGTGGAATACGACGTAGCGAATTGGCTTTGAAATGCACTTTAACTACGCGAAGAAAAACACCTACTTCCATCACATAAAATGCTCAGATAGGAAGGAACATCAGTTCCTTTACAATGGAACGCCACTGGCCACAATTTGTCTTGAATAAGAAATTTGAGACTCTTTCGCAGCAAAATTGCCGTCACATATTGATTGTTGTCTTGTTTTGTTACAATCAGTTCGCGCGGGAGTCCCATTTCAATCACCGCGAGTAGCGAGGTCGCTGGCGACAAAAATTCCCTCGCGAGACGGCTGAGCCATTGGAAAGCTGTCCCGTCCGACGGAAAAGTACATTCTGTCTTGTATTTATGTTTCTGAAGAAAGACCCAGTATGGGAGATAACAGGAACAGAGTCTAGTAAGTCAGCAACTCACACAGCTGATGGAATATCAATCAGGTTCCCACGGGTGACAAGGATCAGAGATGATAATCGGCTACTTTACAGTTGTGGGCTTGGTGTCCTAGCCTTTGAGTGAACGTGAGGCTAAGGTTGACCTTGTTTTGATACAAACCTCCTTCCTTTTCTAATGGAAATTTTGCTTAAAAGATACTAGTTAGCATAACTACAACAAGTTTTGCATAATAAAGCAAGAAGGGTTGTATCAAAACAAGGTCAACTCCAGCCTCGTTTGCAACTGTAACTGTAAAATGGGCTATTAAGGACTGTGAAATTGCTAATGATATGCCCCATCTTAGGGTGAGCTACACATGGTTAATTCCAAGAAATATTCAGGATAATTGTTCACATATTGGCCATTTTAAGATCGTTTATGGAATGAACTGGGTCGGTACTGTGTCTAATATCACCGTGGGACTGTTTGGGTGGGGAGGTAGGGTGGGAGAATAACCAATTTTCACCCAGTTCCCTGCTCAACCTTGCAATAGCCAATAAGAGCGATTGTGTTCCCAAAACTGTCCCAGAGTTCAATTCGTTTCTGTACCGTCCCAGGCTCACGCGGGAAGTCAAAATGGCCACATCAGGTCACTACAGGTGTTTTCTAGAAGCGCGAACTAGAATTCCCTCTGTTTTTAAAATAGTGTTGCACTCAACTCTTTGAGACGATCGTTGGAACCGTTTATAACTGTTACCCTAGAGAGGCGTTCGCCTTGTAGAGAGTGCTAGGCGAAAACTTTAGATGTCCATTTTAATGAACTGTTAGTTTGCTTTCACATTCACACACAGGCAGATACACACAGTAGCGCGGCTCGCTTGTTCGAAAAATGCGCCTGCACTGAAGGCCATGTGTCACGTGATAAACTAGCCCGCCGTGAATCAAATTCTGAGCTGCGTTAAAAAAAATGGATTCGAACCATTACTGAGCTTTGTGATTAGGCTTCTTCTCTTCTTTCATTCAATTACTGTTGCTTTTTCCGCAGGTTTTATTCAACAACTCAAAAGCATCTAACAGTGAGTGGCTTTTTCTATGATATGACAAGTGAAGTAAAGAAAAGAAACTTTCGTGCTGGTGAACCTTTCTGGAACAGCTTTGTTCGAAGCGATCGCCAAATTTGGTGCACAGTATTACGTATGTGTTAGTATACAGGCAACGGAAACGACAACAAAGTTTTGAGGGCTTTGCTTTTTTTGTGTGCGTGAATGTTGGCCAGAAAACTGTTTATGCAGCAGCTAAGAGCAACGTTTCATCAGACATCGAGGAGTTATCGGGTTGACCATGTCCACTCTTCCTTGTCAATTGTTTACTCTTTGTGAGTTTGGACCAGTTTGGAACTTAGAGCTACCCAATTTAGAGGTTAAGCCGGCAGTTTTTTTTACGGTATTTTCCAGCCTACGAAATGACATCAAATTTTGACCCCAATTTTAGACAAACACCACTTAGCTACACAGGAAAATCGACAAGTAGTTACAGCCTATTTCAAATCAAACACTTCGAAAGGTAAATACACTATACGAACATTATGTTTTGTTGAAGATACTGCAGGAAATGTGAAGGACGATGACGCTGACAATGATGATGGCGAGGATGATGAGAATAGAAGTGATGACGATGATATTGATGACTTTGACGAGGAAAATGACTCTAAATCAGAGGTTAACCACTAGAAAAAAGTAAATGATGAGCTACAGAAAGAAACAAGAAAAAGAAAAGCGTTGGACACTGCTGAGGAAGAATCGCCAAAAAAGAAGGTTTGTTTTTATTTTCAGTCTTCATGTCTGGCCTTGCAAAAAGTTGAATGAAAATGGTCCCATATATTTGACAAGCTGACCGAGTTGGAAGAATCGTGAAAAAGTTTCTAATAACACGAAAGTACTTTATAAATGACGTTTTTGCGGCTGTAGCCGTCCTGTTAGGTTAAGCTGCCTAATAGCTTCTTGTCATTGACTGATATTCGTTGTTCTTTTCTCAGTCAAAGCCTGCTTGTAAATATGGATCAAAATGCTATCAACAGAGCGAGTACCACCGACAGAAATTCAGTCATCCTAAAGTAAGTAAATGAGGTGTGAAAAAACCAGTTTTTGACACGCACTGCCTTTTGTGCCGAGCTGATTTTTTACAACAGAAAAAAGCTGCAAATTAATCAATGTAACACTTCGTGTCAAACCGGAAAACTGAAAGAAACAAAAGGAAGAAAGAAAGAAGCACACACAACTTTTCACGCAAATGTTATAATGAGGTTTGTTTTGCAAGCTGTAAGAAAATTTTAGTTTTCATAACAATAAAAAGCTAAGTTTACTTGCAAATAAAACTAGCAAATGTACTTTTGTACATCAGTATAGAGAGGTTTTATGACCGGGGCAAAAGCACGGAATCTCTGTTTATTTGAATTTTCGCTTTTTTGTAATTTCGCAGGAAAATGAAGTTGTTGACAGTCCAAGCAAAGGGCAGGTAAGTAAGGCTCGTAATTATTGGAAACATTTATAATTTTTGAGTCAGTTTTGAATTATTTTCAAAACCATTAACTCTGGTAAATTGTTATTCTTTTCGTTTGTTTTAGTAATGTGTATTATAATCTACAGTTTCTGTTATGCAAAGAATTTACTTTGACATCCTTTTCATTTTTTACAGCGCTTGAAAGACATCTTTCATGGACTGACAATTTTCCTCTCGAAAGACCTTGAAGATCAGCGAAACTCAAAAGATATATTATTGCGTATCCTTTGAAATACCTTTTAGTCTAATGAAATAAAAACTGAGCCAGGAAAACGTATGTCGCTTTAGTCGACAGCGTGCGGAACAACGCGTTTCTGTGTTTCGTATCCAAAATAGGATTTGCAATGTTTTGAATCCGCACTCGGCTTGAATTCAGCGGATTTAATCAGTGTTTCTTTAGGGAGATATTTGAAGAGAGGAATTTCCGCTTGAAATTTGGCCAGCGGAATGCAAAATGCCCTACCAACCCCTGGTACAGGCTGTGAATCCGTCTTTGGTTTTGCCGTCTTTAACCGTGACCAGTTTTCATCCATCAGTTACCTTGAATCTGCATTCAGAATTTTTGCAAAGAAACGCAGCTTAATCACCGCAATTGCAATTTTTCCCGCGCTTCTTGTCTACCGTGCTTTAATCATAAGCTTTCATCTATAAAACTGGACAACCTGGTTTTTAACCATTCTTAACAACATGACTGGATAGTTATGACGGAGATTTGGCGGAGGAATTTGAAAAGACCAGTGCAACACATATTGTAAGCAACAATAAGGTAAGAAGATAAAAAATATTTTGCGCACGTTTACTTTCTGTCGCCTTAGTGTGGTAAACTTCACTGCGAACAGTTTCTTATTTATAAATTTTTGTAGGCCTTTATAGGACCGGACTAGAAACGGGCAGACAAATCGCAAAAATAAAAATGAGACAAAGAAAGAAAGAAAGAAAAACGGAAGAAGAAAAATTTGCAAAGAATAAAGAGGGAAGAAACTCAAAATGCAAGCGTGTATTATGGAAAACGTGAAGGCGGGGAATAGACTCTGTACAATCCTCCGCCCCCTCTCCACCCCTCTTCCCATGTTCTTTCTCTTCGACATTGGAAGCAACGCTTTGGAGGTGATAAGCTAAGATATTTTATTAGCGATGTAACCGATGCCCGCTGTTCTTATCGTGTCTGCTCTTTCTTTTTTAGGATGGACGAAAGGGGCAAGGATCGACCAAGGTTGTGTCGCCATCATGGATTTGGTAGTGTATTAAGAAGGGCCGTATCGTACCAGTTACTAAATTTCTTGTATAAATTTACAGCATTCGATCACTTTGACGGTTTTCAATTCCTTTCAGGATCAACTGTTTGGATAATTACAGAACACCTCCAAGTCTTAAATCGCGCCTCCAAGTGAGGTTGGTCAAAGACCATTCAGAAAAAGAGTTTACCGAGGCTGATGGAATACTTCAACCATTAAAATGAATGTTACGTAATTATAGATTTACCTCGCCAAACGAAAATGTGATAGCTGATAATTGCTCCTTTGACCGAACATTATAAAAGTTTGAAAAATGGAATTTCACTTAGTTTTATACCGCCTTGTGAATCTCATCCCTCTTGAGATTTTCAATAACAACTGTCTACTTACACGAAGAAAAGGTATGTCAATAAAAGACGAGGCCCGCCCAAATAGCCTAAAAACAAATGAGAATAAAACTGTCTTAATTCTTGACTCGTACTATAATAATACTAATTTAAATTTGTGAAAAAATAAATTCATTTGAAAGAGAGCACTTTACCGAAGTGTCTGTAAAAAATAACAAGTGACAATTCAGAAGGAAATCCAGTTCTCTGTCTTTTAAGCGAACTCTAGCAGATAACAATCCGATTACAGCTTCTAAACTGACAATAAAAAGATACCACCGTTTTAAAGTTACTTTATATTTTGACTTTTATACCTCATTGCTTTTTTTACCTCTTTGTGGCCCAAAGGCTGACAGAAACGTAAGATTTTAGTAAAAACTTTCTACAACTGCCATTTGTTCTGGAGGATTTTGTTGCACAGTATCAGGGTTGACTTAGCCAAAGGTTGATTAATGTATTTGCTGGAAACACACACATTAACAACCTCTATATTGGACAAAATAGACGCAAAATTTACTCGTAAAAGGACGGGGAAATGGCGCGTTTTGGCTTTCGCGTGGTCTTTTGAGCCACCGGGGAGTTGCTTTCCCAGCGATAATCTGTCCAAGGATTGTACGCGTTTGTAACGTGTTGAGTGTACACAAATATTTAAAAAAACTTCAGTAGTCCATGCTTTAACCTGCCTAGCAAACTTTTCCGAACGAATTAGGGAGAGAAAGCCCCTTCATTCCTCATTTTTTTCTCTCCCCAACTTTCGCGCGGAATCTCCTGCCGACAAGTTACCCATCCTTCAAAGAGCTGATTAACAATTCTCGGAAATACAGGATGTTTTTTATTCTTCCATCAAACCATCAAAACATGTCAAGAGACTCTATTTGATTGGCTAATAATAAAGAGTTTAGTCTGGGTCACAAGACAAGAGTTCATTGTATATTCGCAAAGGCATAAATCTCCTTGATCGTCAACACTTAGGTCCAAATTTTTAAAAAGTAAACTTGTTTCCGACCTTTACCATGGATATAAAGACCTTGCTCGACAATCTTCATGATGAAGTATCCTGTTCTGTGTGTATGTGTCCATTTACTGATCCAAAGCAGTTGCCTTGTTTGCACAGTTTCTGTCTTGACTGCCTGAACGGAATTCAACGAACGAGCGGCGTCCGTGGTAAAATTACGTGCCCTGAGTGTAGGAGACAGTTTCAAATCCCTGGAAGTGGAAATCCCAGCGAACTTCCCACCAATTTTCGAATAAACAGCCTGCTAGATGTCTTGGCAATTAAAGAGTGCAGTGCCGTCAACGTCAAATGCAGAAACTGCGACAAACGTAGCGCCCAGACCTTATATTGCTTCCAGTGTTGTTCCTTCTGGTGTGAAGAATGTATTGTAGGACATAACATAATTCGAGAAAATAAAGATCACCGAACTCTAGCGCTGAAAGATTTTCAAGATCAAGACATCAAAGCTGTTTTAGAGCGACCAGCATTTTGCCAGAAGAAACACCATGAAAACAAAGAGTTGGAGTTCTTTTGCAAGGGCTGTAAAGTCGCCATTTGCAACACTTGCGCTGTAACACTTCATGAAGGTCATGGTAAGATGCCCTTGCAAGAAGCTACTGATGAGCGCAAAACACAGATAGACTCCATGATTCGATCTTTGAAAGACAAAGTAGTGGAAAAACAAAGAGAAGTCGAACAATTCAACCAAAGAAGCATCGCATTTCAATCGAAAGTAACCGAGGTAAAAAGCCAAGTGCAGTCTTGTGTAGACCAAATTATTGCAATCATCGAAGCGAGAAAACAAGACGTTTTTGATGCAGTCGATAATCAAGCGGCAAAATCACTGGAATCTCTCTCACAGAAAAAAGAAGCAGTGGAAAAACAACTAAAAATAATTGAATCCGCAATTGAACAAACTGAAACTCTGTTGAAACGAAGCTTTAGCACTGAAATCCTTGGATTCAGTGAAACATTTGATACAATCCTGCAGGAACAGAGCACTCAAGAAACCCGTGACACTGAATCTATTCCTCGGTTTAGTTTCACTAAAAGTGAAAAACTGATTAACCTGTTGAGCATGAGCGAGGGGATAGGTAAAGTAGAATTTGTTTTTAGCGAACCTAAAGCGCAACAATCAGGAACTAAAAATAAAGAAAGTAGTAAAGTAATTGCTGGGATTAAAGGGGCAAATGTCCGTGATAGTCCTTTTGAGACTCAGGTACAAACGAGGCGTTTCAGATCTGTGCTGTCATTTGGACAAAAAGGTGAGTCTGTTGGAATGCTTAACGGACCCTGGGGGGTGGCAGTGAATGATCATGATGAAATGGCTGTGACTGACCTCTGGAACCACAGGGTTTCAGTGTTTAGTAGTGACGGTACCCACTTAAGATCGTTTGGTAGACCCGGTAACAATAATGGTGCTTTCTATTACCCTTCAGGGATCGCTTTTGATAGTCATGGCAATATTGTAGTGGCAGACTGTGCTAACCACAGGGTGCAAGTCTTTGATAGGAATGGTAACTTTCTTAGTATGTTTGGTGAACAAGGAAGTCGCGATAATCAGCTTCAACACCCTCGAGGTTTATCAATAAACGGCAACGGTGATATTATTGTTGCTGATACCGGTAACAAATTAATCAAGATATTCTCCTCTAGTCACAACTATTTACGTAAATTTGGTGGAGCAGGTTTATTGGTCACTCCCTATCACTGCATCCAACACGGTCAATATTTTATAGTCTCAGATTTCAGTGATCATTCCATTAAAATGTTTGATCTTGAGGGAAAATTTATTTCTAAATTTGGAAAACAGGGGAACAAGGATGGAGAGTTCGATCAGCCCCGTTACTTGTCAGTTAACAAAGAAGGATTGCTAATGGTCTGTGATGCAAGAAATCACAGAGTTCAAGTATTTGAACTGAGTGGAAAGTTTGTTACAAACTTTGGAAGTGAAGGTAGCGGGAGAGGAGAGTTTAAGTGTCCAGTGTCTACAGCAAATCTTAGTGATGGAAGGATAGTTGTGTGTGAGAAGGAGAACAACCGAATCCAGGTTTTTGACCAGTTATAATATGATCTTTCCAGTGATATTATTGTTGAAACTTTCAAATTGGCTTCTTTATCTAGGAAAAGAAACCGTAACTTTTCGAACAAAATCATTTTGTGGGTTATTTGTCACTGTTGACCTTTTCTAGTTGCCAGGGGGGCATTAGGTTGTTCTCACATGTAGTTTGCATTTTCTGTGAATGTAACAATAAATTATAAAATCGTGGCTGTAATAATAGCTGAAATGACATTCAACTTGTAAATGTATTTTGTTTAAGAATTTGTTCATGCTTAGCGTGCGTATATCGAGTTATGGATGCACGTGGGAAGTTTGGAGAGCACGAAAGATGCGTAAGAGTTGCACGAGGCGATAGCCGAGTGCAACTCTAGCTTCTTGAGTGCTCTCCAAACTTCCCAAGTGCATCCATAACTCGATATACGCACAGCTAAAAGCATGAGCAAATTCTTTTATAACATAGCTCACAAAAATGCATGCTTTTTGATTAACTGCAAAATTCTCTTAACGTGTGACAAAATAACAAACGGTTCTATTGGCTGATTATGAACACGCCACAATCGTCTAGTTTGAATGAAAATATCCTTTCTGTAAAAGTGAGAAAGAAAATTTGCTTCTTTATAGACCGATTGCAAATATGGCGACGATTTCACCAAAGCGAGGCTTTTCGGTAGCAACCGTTGCTAAGGGCTGGTTGCTGTGTTTACCCGTGCCGTTGCTGGAAAGACTGCAGCTTCTCAGACGTCTTTTCCTTTAAATTCGACCAAAATAAGTCAATTTTCTTCGCTGAAAAAGGTTTCAATCTGGTATACACGCTTTGGATACTGTTTTTCTATGCTAAATTGAACGATCAACTGACGCACAGCGATCACAGACAGAGTCATTTGTAGTGATCGCGATACTTTGACTGCCTGATATTTTTCATTCATTGTATTTAAGGTTCACATGTAATTATCATTCTAAAAGCTGATCTTCAAATTTTAGAATTGGATTGCATGCCATTTTTGCTGTACATTTATAAATATTACCATGCCGGGTAGTTGTTGCGTGCCTTTGTGCTGCAAGAGTGGTTATCGTGTAGGGCCGGATGGGAAAAAGATCACGTATCATTGCCTTCCATCGGATGCTGTAAGACTGAAGGTACTACTTTCAATATTATCGTTCATTAAACCTATCGTTTCAGATTTCTGATATTTCTCGATACGACATATATTTCAGGAGTGGCTTGTAAAAATTCGACGAGACGTATCTCCAGCATTTCAGATAACTGAACGAACCAAAATCTGCTCCTTGCATTTCAAGATAACTGATTTTCGTGTAACCTTGACTGGTCGTCGATATTTAAAGGACGATGCTATTCCCTCTATCTTTTCATGGTCGGCAGCATCCCCTAAGCGAAAATCACCACGTAAGAGGTCACCAAGCGATTCCGTAGCTCATGATCAGAAGCCATCCTGCAGTAGCAAAAATGACCGCAACTCGGAAATTGATGTGGATCAAATCAGCCAGTTACGTACGCACATTGCTCAACTTGAACAAGAAAAGAATATGCTCCAACTTCACAATAAACATCTTTCGAAAACTGTCGATGAACTTCTCGCAAACCAGTTTGGAATAACAAAATTTATGGGTGAAGACTCGGACATCAACTTTTACACCGGCTTCCCAAATTATCAAACACTACTGGCTTGCTACAATTTCTTAAATCCAGGGGGAAATGGTGAGAACATTGTTTACATCACTAGTGCGAACGACGAGTTAGAGTCTCCGGCGTTTCCAACCAATGAGATTAACCGGGGAAACAAACCCGACAGACGTCGGAAACTAAGTACTCTGGACGAGTTTTTTATCGTCCTTATCAGAATGAGGCTTGGATTATTTGAACTTGATTTGGCCCATAGGTTCAGGGTACATGTATCTACAATTAACAGAATTTGCATATCCTGGATCAATTTTCTGTACTTAAAATTCGGTCACCTCAACATTTGGCCAGACAGAGAGACAATAGATAAAGCAATGCCCCAGTCTTTCAAGGATAAGTACCCCAAAACAAGGGTTATTATTGATGGGACAGAAATCAAATGTCAAACCCCTTCCTCTTTGGTTCTGCATAGTGAAACTTTCTCTACGTACAAGAGTCATACGACATTTAAAGGTTTGATTGGCATTGCACCGAGTGGCCATATAACATTCATTTCGCAACTTTATGCTGGGAGTATTTCAGATAGAGAGTTAACTGTCAGGTCGGGGCTACTCAGCTTACCTTTTTCCCGTGGTGATGTAGTAATGGCTGACAAAGGCTTCACTATTTCAGATCTTCTGGAGCCCATTGGTGTTGGCTTGAATATCCCCCCATTTCTTGGTTTAAGAAGTCAACAGACCCCTTCAGAAGTTATTGCGACTCAGGAAATTGCGTCCGAGCGTATTCACGTGGAAAGAGCGATAAACAAAGTAAAGAATTTCCAAATTTTTAATCAAGTCATTCCACTGTCGTTAGCTGGTAGTCTAAATCAAATGTGGACTGTTTGTGCTGTGCTGACAAACATGCAAAATCCAATTATTTCATAGCATGTATTGTAAAGAGGTGTACAAGTACAGGTACACTAATGAAAACTCAAGTTGAGTTATTGTCTAGGGGAGAACGTACACAGGAATACTTGCTATTAAACGGTTTAAGTTTAGTATACAAAATATTGTTTGCAAATATTTCGCTGCATTTAAATAGTTCAGATCATGCTTCTTGTCAAAAATTAAGTCGACCTATTATTTAGCACGTGCTGATACTGCCTGTAGCTGTTCTAGTAGCAGTTAAAACGGTGCACGCTGTTGTTACAGCACATGCTCCAGCTGGCACTGCTTGTGCCTTGAAATATGCAGCATAGTGCTTAAAGAAAAATTGTTCCAATTTCAACAGCATAGAAGCAAAAAATTCAGGATCAAAATAAATACGTTCAATGACCATCCCCTTGAATGTATAAGTGACAAAGTCACACCACTTAGCCCCTGTAATTCCCATTTGCCCCTGAACCTGATAATAATATTTGTGCGTCGTCTTAAGCGATGGAAAGTCATCCTTTTTTTCAAGATGAAATTGACTGTTACCGGCACATGCTGTCTCAGGAGTGACATTCCTGTGTTTGTACGGACATTTAATTTCAACGATCCCGTATGGGCGATTCTCTGTTACGTCAATAACCTTCCCATCAGGTGAGCAACCGAGGAAGGGGAAGGCAGGGTTTACAACAAAGCCTGATGGAAAGGTCTTTACGGGATGTCCACTGTTTACAAGGTAGTTCTCATACTGTTTTGGGGCCCTGCTTTCATTTTCAATGCCATGCTTTAGGGGAGCTGGTACATTTCTTGAGTCGACAGGCGCATTTTGATCGCTAACAAGGCCTTTCAGAAACGGGCTGGTAATCGATTTTCGACTTAAAATTTCTCCAAATGTCGACGCTGTCAATCTTGGTTTCCTTTCAGTCCACCAGCGGCTACAGTTTCGTTGTGACTGTGTCGCCCTTTCAAGATCTGCAGCATTCTCTTCATTGATTCTTAGTGAGTCATAAAATTGATTATGTTCTGAAGAGCACTGAGTGACGATGAACAAGGGGGAAACCAAAGATAACGGGAAAGAAGGGTAAATTGTTCTAGGGACATCTTCACTGCTAGCCGGTTGCTTAGATAAGTCTACATTACACGTCACTTTAAAGTTCCCTTCAGTGGGTGCCATTTGATAACTGAGATACCCTCCCAAGGGTGCAAGACCAGCCCTGGTAGGTACCTTCTCACTTCCAGCATTCATGTACAAACTGAGGCCAAAGTTCTTGTTGACCTTCTTTAAATCATCCTTAAAGCTCTCAATCTCTGCATTAGTTGGGGCTGCCTTGATTGCAGGATACAGTGAACAAGTAATACCAGGGGACACAGAAACTGAGGTACTCTCACCTGTACATGTCGTGCCTAACTTAGGTTTTTTGAAAATTATTTCCATCAAAGGTTCCGATGATATATTTTTCCCTCTAGGCCTATGCCACTGCTGTGGAAGGGAGGTGCAAACCAAGTCATCGGGGATCATTTTAGCTTTTGTCATGGAATAGTGGGAAACTAGATACATTAGGCCTACGGCATGATTACAAAACCTCAAAGATCCAGCGACACAGGTGCAGGATGAAGCAAGTACATCGTAAGGTTGCTCTGTTGAGATTGCTAATCTTATTTTATGTGGGGGTTCACTTTTCCGTAGACTTCGGTAGCAAAGGGCTCTGAAATAAAAGGTTTTTCTCTCTTTGTGATTCTTGGCCCCGACGTTATGAAGGTATCCTTCAATAAAAAAATTGACACCACGTTCAAAAGGCTTCATTACCATGTAGTCCGGGGAATGCTGAATGTTTTTACCGGAGTTTCGGACATATTTCACAATGGTATTATACGTGAATGGAGGAAGATCGTCCAGTAGTTGATCCATATTCTTCTCAGAGGGACAAAATCTAAACTTTTCCTCATTCTCCCTAACAAGATCTGAGTCGCTCTTTTTGCTTCGAGCACGAAGTGCAGCGGCGGTCGCTTGATTATTTTGATCATTTTGCCAGCGATCATCTGTACACATTTGAAGTACTTCCTTCACTCTCACAAAAAAATCAACAAGGGACGCTAATTTTAAACTTGCAATCAGTTAGACAGAAAAAAATAATGAGACAAAAGACAAAGGTACATTTAATGGTTTTCAAGTCAGTGTCAAGTGTATTTAATCATTTAAAACACAGGGTTAAAAACGCTGCCGGCTTACTTTGCAACAAATTGGGCCTTCACTGTTAATCCTTTCAGGCTCACTTTCTTCCTTACAAGAATTTCTTTTAATTCCTTCACATGCATCTTTTCCAAGGGCCTATCCATTATGAACTTAATACTGTTCGGTAAAAAGAACATACAGTGAAACTGAGTCTAAAACATTTTCAAGAAGTTCAAGTTCAAAGTCGGAAATGAGTACATCGTAATCGTGATTTTTCCTATCATCTACGTTCCGATTTGAATAATATAGGCAAAGTAAAAAGCACTGACCTTTATTTTAACACACTAAACCGACGATGACTTCTTCTTGAAAGTTTTTTATTGTTTCCAGAGTGAAAAAACAACAAGATAGTAACGGACTTGCATTATCATTTGAACAAGCGACCAGCCCTTAGCAACGGTTGCTACCGAAAAGCCTCGCTTTGGTGAGATCGTCGCCATATTTGCAATCGGTCTATTCGTTAACGATCAATGGAAACTAAGCAGAAACAAAGGTAAAAGAGTCTTAAAGTTCACCTAAAGTTAAAACTAACATGTTCATAAGAAGTCGTGGAGTATGATTTGGATTTGCTGAAAAGATGTTTACGTTTTGCCCGGCGAAATCCAGAAAACATGTTTTTAGTGAAGACGACTGTCATCCTTCTTTAAACTTATATTCATTTACGAACATTGGCTGGTCATTACGGCTTCTTGAGGAGGCCTGGCAGCAGTTGTTTTTGTGAGTAATAAATTTATGTCTTCTTGTGTAATTTGTGTTGTTATGCACTAGTCATTTGTTTCCTCCGCCCCCCCACCCCCGCGACATTCGGGGA